TCTGTGTAGTCTAGGCTAGCTCAGAACTCAAGATCCAAATGCCTCCGCCTCCTCAGTGCTGGGCGCATAGGCTTGGTACCACTGTGCTCAGCTGAGAGGATTTTTTTTTTTTTTTTGAGTGGGGGACTGGTACTGGGGCATGAACTCAGGACCTGGATGCTATCCCTTAGCTTTTTCATTCTAGTTTAGCACTCTACTACCTGAGTCGTTATTACTCCCAGCTTTTTAGGGGGAGAGGGGGTCCGGTCATGGGGCCTGAACTCTGGGCCTGAGCACTGTCCCTCAGCTCTTAAGCTCAAGGCCAGGGCTTTACCACTTGAGCCACAGTGCCACTTCCGGCTTTTTTCTTTTTGCTTATGTGGTGCTGAGGACTTAACCCAGGAGCTCATGCATGCAAGGCAAGCTCTACCACTGAGCCACCTTCCCAGCCCCATACTTTCAGCTTTTTTAAATTGGAGACTTTCTTGCTGATGCCTGCTTCAAACCATTATCTTTTGATCTCAGCTTCCTGAGTAGCATTGTAGGCATGAGCCATGGGCACCTAGTTAAGAGACAGGACATTTTTGATGCTTGTGATCATTATTTCCTGTGATACCCTTAGAATTATTCTGTAATGTTGAAACATATTGACAGTGAGGTTTACTTAGCATTTCTCTGTGGATTAAGATTTTGTGTCATTTCCTTCTTAAAAAGTCAGGTGGTAGCTGGGAAGGTGGCTCAGTGGTAGAGTACTTGCCTTGCATGAGGCCCTAGGTTCCATTCCTTAGCACCACATAAGCAGAAAAAGCCAGAAGTGGCGCTGTGGCTCAGGTGGTAGAGTGCTAGCCTTGAGCTGAAGAGCTGAGGGACAGCAACCAGGTCCAGAGTTCAAGACCCACAACTGACAAAAAAAAAAAAGTCAGTTGGTTAGCCAGGCACCGGTGGCTCATGCCTGTAATCCTAGCTACTCAGGAGGCTGAGATCTGAGGATCCTGGTTCAAAGCCAGCCTGGGCAGGAAAGTCTGTGAGACTCTTACCTCCAATTAACCACCAGAAAACAAAAAAGTCTCACACAAAAAAACAAAAAACCACACAAAAGTCAGCTGGCTATTTAGTGTGTGCCTGATGATCACCAAAATGCCACAACATAGTTGAAAATTCTATAATATTGCTGGACGGCCTTTCATTACATTGCCCTACACACCACAACCAAACTTCTATAACTTGTCACTTTTGAAAGACAGCTTTTCATTTGCCTAGCTGAGCTTCTCAATTCCTGAGGCTTACATGTGTGCATGGCGATGACCTGGCCACCTTCTAGATTTCAAGTCTTAGCAAAATGCTTGTGAGAATATTTCAAGGTAGTGGAAGGCAAATTTAAATTAAACGAATGTGTTACTAAGAATAGAACATAATTTTTAGTAGCAATTGCAGAAGCCCCTCTAAGCATGTGAGTTCACACAAACACTTAAGTCTTCATGCTAGCTATGGGTACAACGTCAAGGCCATTCCTTGTAACTGATTAGGGTCTATCAATATCAATTTAAGATACTGTGGAAGTGTGGCTGAAGTGGTAGAGTGGCAACCTTGAGCAAAAAAGCCAGTCAAGAGCTGAGTTCAAGTCCTCCCTGTACTATCACACACACACACAAAAGATGCTTCTCACAAATTTCAAGAAATGGGATTTATTATTATGAAAATGAATAGCTTATCTGGGTGATGGTAGCTCAGACCTGTAATACTAGATACTCAGGAGGCTGAGATCTGAAGATCATGGTTCAAAGCCAGCCTGGGCAGGGAAGTCTGTGAGACTCTTATCTCTAATTAACCACCAGAAAACCTGAAGTGATACTGTGGCTTAAGTGGCAGAGCATTTACCTTGAGCTGACAGCACCCAGGCCCAGGCCCAGGGTTCAAGCCCCAGGACTGAAAAAAAAAAAAGGAAATAAATAGTTAAAATTTTTTCATTTTAGCCAGGTGCCAGTGGCTCACGCCTGTAATCCTAGCTACTCAGGAGGCTGAGATCTAAGGATCATGGTTCAAAGCCAGCCCAGGCAGGAAAAGCTGTGAAACTCTTATCTCCAATAAATTACTCAGAAAACCAGAAGTGGCTCTGTGGCTCAAGTGGTAGAGTGCTAGCCTTGAGCTGAAGAGCTTAAGGACAACACCCAGGCCCAGAGTTCAAGCCCCATGACCAACAAAAAAAAAAAAATCATTTTAAACACAAGAAAGTGTGGTTTTCATTGTCATTGATAAGAGCTGCTTCAAAGAAAATTCCTCTGACTTGTACGTAAGTCAAGCCTGGAGTAGAACCTTTCATCTTTGGGATCAGATGTGTGGAAACTGTAGTCATTGAATCACTAATGACAGATGGAGTGGTGAAGACGCTAAGATTGCTGCAGGTGACAGGGTTCAGCACTACCTTGCCAGCAGGAACCTGAGTTCAGATCACAGCTCTTTGGAAAAACAGATTCCTGTAACTGTGAACAATCAATTGTGATAAGTCAACTACCTTCGGACCAACCCAGATTTCTATACTTAAAGATAAATCCTCCTTTCTGCTTTTGAGGATCTGTTGTGATTTTTACATTTAATAATTGGTTTTCCTGTTTTATTGTTATGTGAGATTTCCTGTGTTTATTACAATACTCATTCTTTCTGTTATTAGGCTAGTTAGGAAGTACCAGATCCTACTATTAGTTAATAAAGTGTAACAAAACAGGTGGGAACTCAAGTGGTAAAATATTTGTTTAGCAAGATCAAATCCCTGAGTTCAAACCCCAGTACCACAAAATAAATAAATACATACATACATACATTCATACATACCAAAACTTTCCTTACAAAAAAGACACAAGAATGAATTTGTCTGTATTTGTCTAGGGTTCCCATGCTGACCTGCCCATCTTTGTTATGGCTCTTGTGAGGTTTTTTTGTGGGTGGCTTCTGACCTACTGGTGGGAAGGGAAGGGCTCTATTCTTTCCTAGACTGTCTCTCAATCCCATCCCGTTCCCCCCACCCCTCTTTTTTTTGGTCATAGGGCTTGAATTCTGGGCCTGGGCCTGAGCACTGGCCCTGAAGGCGAGTGCTCTACCTCTTAAGCCACAGTGCCACTTCCATTTTGCTGGTGTATTGGAGATAAGAGTCTCATGGACTTTCCTGCCCAAGCTGGCTTTGAACCATGATCCTCAGATCCCAGCCTCCTGAGTTGCTAGCATTATAGGTGAGAGCCATTGGCGCCTGGTTCCCTCCCTTCTTTTTTGTTTTTTTATTTTATTTATTTTTGTCCGTCATGGGGCTTGAACTCTGGGCCTGGGTGCTGTCCCTCAGCTCTTCAGCTCAAGGCTAGCACCCTATCACTTGAGTCACAGCACCACTTCTGGCTTTTTTCTGCTTACATGGTGCTGAGAATCAAACCCAGGGCCTCATGCATGCAAGGCAAGTGCTCTACCACTGAGCCAACTTCCCAGCCCATCCCTTCTTTTCTTTTCTTTTCTTTTTTTTTTTTTTTTGGTCGGTCGTGGGGCTTGAACTCTGGGCTTGGGCGCTGTCCCTCAGCTCTTCAGCTTAAGGCCAGCGCTCTACCACTTGAGCCACAGCACCACTTCCAGTTTTCTAGTGGTTTATTGGAGATCAGAGTCTCACAGACTTTCCTGCCCAGGCTGGCTTTGAACTGTGATCCTCAGATCTCAGCCTCCTGAGTAGCTAGGATTACAGGCGTGAGCCACTCGCGGCGCCTGGCTCCATTCCTTCTTTTTTATCAGACCATATTATGGATTGTAAGAAAGCAGATTTGCTGAATTGTAGGCTAAAATCCTGGACTTAAAACTGGCACAGTTTTTGCTTTTATTTATTTTTTTGGTGGTTCTGGGAGTTGAACTCAGGGCTTCATGCTTGCTAGGCATGTACTCTCCTATTGGAGCCACACTGTTCTCCGGCCCCCCTCCCCCAAGGCCTCTTTTCACTTTCCATTTCATTCTGAGGCCAGTTACTTAGCTTTTACCCCAAATTCTAGGATCAGTTTTGTGTATATATTCCAAAAGTAGTTCTGTTGAAGTAGGGCTATGTCTTAGCAAGTTCCAGATACTTTTCCCATTTGTCATCTTCTGGCTGTAACATTCCTGCTAAGTTCATTTTCTTCCTCTTGATTTACAAGCCCTGCTTCTTCCTAGACCTTGATTACTCTGTAATTGTTGTTTATATCAGATCAGTGGGTGCTATGTGTTCTGATAGTGGTGACTTTAACTGTGTTTAACTTCCTCAAAGCTAAGCCTAGTTATTTTGAGTTAATGACAGTGTGTCATACTGCTCCCTGCTGATATTTTAGAAAGCACTTGCACATTTTCTCACTGAAGCCTCCCTGGAAATAAGATAGAGGTTCTGGGTTCAGGTAACATGTAAGTTTGGTTCTAGAACCTACGTCTGCCAACTTCTAGTGCAAGTGTTTGCTTTGTTTTTACTGTTCTGCTTTGCTTCATTCCCTGTAAGTTTCAGAAATGTAATAGTAAATGTGTTCCTATCTCCTCCTAATGCGTTTTCCCCAGGGCCTAGTCCTGTTGCCAAATGCTGTTCAAGTTTTTTCAGATCTACACTAACAGTGATGAGGATGAATAATATTCTCTTTCTGACTTTACTCCTAAAGCCTTGTTTATAGTTATAGCCCAGTCTAGCTTTGTGAAGAGAGGTCATGTATGGTGCTGGTTAGTAGCTCTCAAATGCTTAGCACTCACTGGCAGTAAGTGCTTCTGGATCATAAATTGCCATCCGCACAAAAATAAGCTTTCCTTTGCACATGCACAAAGTGCTTTCCAGAAACTTTCAGAGGACTAGGAGAACACTGTCTTGGGCTGGGAGCAGTGGAAGCAAGCAGTGAACTCCCATATGTGCTGCATGGGGGTTTGTGCTTTGTGGATGCAGGGATCCTAACAGGCTTTCTGCTGCAGAAACTCAAACTCTAAAGAGAACTGAACTGATCAAGAAGAGGTAAACATCATCAGTGTTTTTGTCCTCTTCTCCAAAGTTTGGGAGCCTCTGGTGGAGCAAGTAATTGGGATTCCTACAGTGACCATTTCACCATTGAAACCTGCAAGGAGACAGATATGCTGAACTACCTCATCGAATGCTTTGACCGAGTTGGAATAGAAGAAAAAAAAGCACCAAAGGTACCATGAGACAGTTTTACTTAGAAAAGAAGAACTGGGGTGTCAGTGGCTCTTGCCTGTAATCTAGCTACTCAGGAACCTGAGATCTGAGGATCATTGTTTAAATTCATCCTGGGTAGGAAAGTCCACAAGACTCTTTGTCTTCCATTAATTATAGAGAAACCCAGAAGTGAAGCTGTGGCTCAAGTGGTAGAGTGCCAGTCATTTGGGTTTTTTTGTTTGTTTGTTTTTGCTTTTTTCACTAGGACAAAATATCTGAGAATATCAACAAAGGAGAAAAGGTTTATTTTTGATTCAGAGTTGAAGAAGTTTAAGTCCCTGGTTGGTCGTTTTAATTCTGGGCTGTGACATCAAGGCAGAGGGTGTGTGTAGCAGGGCACAGTTGCTGGCCTCATAGCAGCCAGGGAACACACAGAGACAGAGAAAGGAAGGAGGGGACAGGATAAACCAGGGTACACCCTAATGATCTACTTCCTTCAGCCAGGACCTACCTCCTGTATCACCTATGAATTAATTCATCAATAAATTAACCCATTGATTTATTCAGAGCCCTCATGAGCTAGTTATCTCCCTAAAGCCCACATCTCTAACACAGGAAGGCATTTTTAGATTCAAACAGTAGCACTGCCAGTCTGTGGCAATTGTAATAACAGTAAGCAACACCATGAAGCCCATGTAGATTAGATGACATTAACTCCACTTTAGCTTGAATTCTCTACAAGTGCTCAGAGTTACAAGTAGCCCTGTGCATGATATATCTTCTTTCCATGATATGGATAAGCAAATGAATGACAAAGGTTAAATTCATTATGGTAAAATTACTTAAATGATGACTTGCCAGGCTAGGTTTAAACTAAAGAAATACATATTTTGTACTGACTTGACTTCCTTATTTTTTCATTTTATTCTTAGTTTATTACCTAGTTCTAGTTTTGCATTAGAAAACTAATCTCGGTGTCCACCTGTTTTGGCAGTACTGGAGTTTGAACTCAGGTTTACACTCTTGCTAAGCAGGTACTCTGCCTCTTGAATCCCACCTGTAGTCCCACTTGTTAGTATTGTATTTGTAAAGGGCCTCTTTGAGGATTATTGTACTTGACCTGTGGGGGGGAAAAAAGAAGACCACATGTTTTTCTACTTACCCCTTCTGACTACATTTCACTTTTAGCACTTTGTTCATTATGAATAAAAGAATAAAAATGCCATTTTCCAGCCATTACGTTCTTATGACATTTGTCAGTTTTCAACAGCATGATGTTAGTACTTTGCTTCTTGTCCTGACAACTACCTTCCTTTTCCAGATGTGCAGCCAGCCAGCAGTCAGCCAGCTCCTGAGCAACATCCGCTCACAATGCATATCGCACACCGCATTAGTACTCCAAGGTTCCCTAACACAGCCTAGGTATGTTGTGAAGGATTGTTATGTGGCTGTGTGATAACACCTTGCACCTGGTTGGATCACTCCATTGTCTGAAAAGCGAAAATGTTTAACTCAGTAATCTGAGATTCCTTTCCTTCTCTAAAATGTTTTCTTCCTCATCTTGTAAAATATGAGGCATAAAAGACATGAGTTAGACCTAAGGAGTGTTTTTTGAAATAGATCAGTATTGAATTATGTGGAGACCAGTAAAGAAAACTAGTAATTTAGTTTAAAACTACCTGAACTTGGTAGAGGCATCATATAAAGTGTATGTATCATTACTTCCTATGTAGTACATACCAGTTTATGTTACATAGTAATTAAGAATAATGTGTAGAATAGAATCACACAGATACTACATTGTATTTTATTTTATTACATGAAGTTCCATAAAATACTTTGTATATTTCTTTTATGTAAAAATAATTCTAAGTGAAAAGTGGCACAAAGTTAAATTTGTGCATTCTCCTTGTTATATCCTGTACCATACCCACATGTTTTTTAAGCTTTTTTATTTATCCTAGTCCTGGGGCTTGCGGGGGAGGTTTTTTGTTGTTGTTTTTTTTTTTTTTTGGTCAGTCCTGGGGCTTGAACCTAGGTCCTGAGCACTGCCCCTGAGCTTCTTTTGCTCAAGGCTAGCACTCTACCACTTGAGCCACAGCACCACTTCTAGCTTTTTCTCTTTATGTGATACTGAGGAATTGAACCCAGGGCTTCATGCATGCTAGGCAAGCACTCTACCACTAAGCCACCTTCCCAGCCCGGTTCTTGAGTTTTTTAGCTCAGAGCTAGCACTCTACCTTGAGACACAGGTTTACTTCCAGATTTTTTGGGTAGTTAACTGGGGACAAGAGTCTCGGGGACTTTCCTGCCCAGGCTGGCTTCAAACTGTAATCCTCAGATCTCAGCCTCCTGACTATCTCATATTATAGGTGTGAGCCCTAGTGCCAACCTTAATGCTTCTTTTTTTTTTTTGCTAGTCCTGGGACTTTTACTCAGGGTCTGGGCACTGTCCCTGAGTTCCTTTTTTTTTTTTTCTCAAGGCTAGCATTCTACCACTTGAGCCGCAGTGCCACTTCCAGCTTTTTTGTTGATGTGGTACTGAGGAATTGAACTGGGGCTTCACACAAACTAGGTAAGCACTCTACCTCTAAGCCACATCCCCAGGCCCTCATTTTTTTTTTTAAGCTCTTTGTTTTTTCCACCAGCCCTTCATTTATTTTTTATTTTTTCTCCAGAGCTAAGGACCAAACGCAGGATCTTGCACTTGCCAGGCAAGTGCTCTTCCAATGAGCTAAATCCCCAACCCAATGCTACATTTTTAATGGACTGTGAAGGAAAATAAAAAATTTGAAATTTCTATAGCACTTCATTAAAAGACCAAAAAATGACTACAACTGGTTAGAAAGGTTTTCATTGTCTAAAACATGTACAGAATATTTGGGAGATTTCAAATTTGGCTTCTGACTGGGCAGGTGGTACTGCCATGTGCTTGTATTTGTTCTGCATTGTGAGATCACTTCATTGTAGCCTTTGGCTTTTGTGGGTCCACAGATCCATGCAGCAGCCGTCCTTCCTTGTGCCCTACATGCTGTGCAGGAATCTCCCATACGGCTTTATTCAAGAACTGGTGAGGACCACTCATCAGGATGAAGAAGTGTTCAAGCAGGTATGGTCATGTGAGTTTTCTACTGCACTTTTAGCCTAGTACTTCTGTGCTGAAGCTGATACCTAAATATATTTGAAATTTCTCTTCCCACATTCCAGCATTCTTGTTATTTGCTCAAGGGTAGACCAACCAAGATTCTTTTTGAGAAAATTGGATTTAACGGCTGTAGTTTTCAAATCATATGCTCAATTCAGCTATTGAGTCTTTCAAACAAGGTCTATGTTAAGTGCTTTGGAATATAAAAGTCCTGGCTGGGAATGTGGCCTAGTGGTAGAGTGCTTGCTTAGCATGCATGAAGCCTTCGGTTTGATTCTTCAGCACCACATACACAGAAAAGGCTGGAAGTAACGCTGTGGCTCACGTGGTAGAGTGCTAACCTTGAGCAAATGAAGTTCAGGGACGGTATCCAGTCCCTGAGAGCAAGCCCCAGGACTAGTAAAAAAGAAAAAAAAAAAAAAAAAGAATAGTCCTGTTGGATGCTGGTTGGCTCACACCTGTGATCCTAGCTACTAAGGAGGCTGAGATCTGAGGATTGCAGTTAGAAGCCAGCCCACACAGGAAAGTCCATGAGATTATTACCCTCCAATAAAAAGCCATAAGTGGCACTGTGACTCAAGTAATAGAGCACTAGCCTTGAGTAAAAGAAGCTCAGAGACAGCACCCAATCCAAGTTAAAGCTCCAGGACCAACACACTTACACACACACACACACACACACAAACACACACACACACACTCACACACACACACACACCAAGAGCCACATCCCTAAGACAATGTGAGACAGCACCCAATCCAAGTTAAAGCTCCAGGACCAACACACACACACACACACACACACACACACACACACACACACACACACACACACACACACACACACACACACACACACACACACACACACACACACACACACACACACACACACACACCCCAAGAGCCACATCCCTAAGACAATGTACATTTTACACACACACACATACACACACCAAGAGCCACATCCCTAAGACAATGTACATTTTACACAAACACACACACACACCAAGAGCCACATCCCTAAGACAATGTACATTTTACACATAGCAGTACTAAAAGTTGGTTGTCTGAGTATCTGAGATTAGTAATGCAATAACCAAATTAGCTCACATAGGATCCAAACTAGGAAGCAATGTGTTACATCTTACTGTTTGTGCTTTATTTGCTAATTATTTACATACTGTATTGATATCTCATTTTGTAAAGTCAAGTGAAGATGTTATCTCTTCACTGTTTACTGAGTCTCCTACAAGGTGAGACTCAGTTGTACTTTTCCCTTGCTTTTTCTTAAAATTTCTTACAGTTTACTTAGTCATCCCTTTTTTGTGTGGTTAGAGAAACAACAGTTGTAATCAGAAATGCATAACACCATTGTAAACTAGTTTATACTGAGTATTATAACTGTTGGTTTTAAGACTAAATTCTCGGGGCTGGGAAGGTGGCTCAGTGGTAAAGCGCTTGACTTGCATGCTTAAGGCCCTGGGTTCGATTCCTCAGCACCCTATAAGCAGAAAAAGCCAGAAGTGGCGCTGTGGCTCAAGTGGTAGAGCGCTCGCCTTGAGCTGAAGAGCTGAGGGACAGTGCCCAGGCACAGAGTTCAGGCCCCATGACTGGCAAAAAAAAAAAAAAAAAAAAGACTAAATTTTAAGAATTGTGATTTCAACATTCTTCAAAGGGAATAAAAAGGCCTGCTAATGTTCTGTAATCTTTCTAGAACTCAGTCCCCGCACTTGTCTTCCATGATAGTCATGTTGACTTACAGGAGCATAAAGGCAACAGAGTGAACTCTTCTTTCAAAAGCTAAACCCTGGGTTCAATTCCTCAGCACCACATAAGCAAAAAGAAAAAAGCCAGAAGTGGTGCTGTGGCTCAAGTGGTAGAGTGCTAGCCTTGAGCTGAAGAGCTGAGGGGCAGAGTCCAGGCCCAGAGTTCAGGCCCCATGACTGGACCCCCCCCCCCCAAAAAAAAAAAAAAGCTAAGCCAAGGGGGCTGGGAAGGTGGCTCAGTGGTAGAGTGCTTGCCTTGCATGCATGAGGCCCTGGGTTCAATTCCTCAGCACCACATAAGCAAAAAGAAAAAAGCCAGAAGTGGTGCTGTGGCTCAAGTGGTAGAGCGCTCTCCTTGAGCTGAAGAGCTGAGAGACAGCACCCAGGCCTAGAGTTCAGGCCCCATGACTGACAAAAAAAAAAGAAGAAAAAAAAATGCTAAGCCAAGTCTCATGAAAACAAGTGATGGTCTTGGAAAGTTTTAGTGAAGTGCCCATAATTTAATGGGTATAGTGGGCATTAATTAGAATACTTTATCAAAACAGGCACCCAGAGTAGTTTTTACTGTGTACTATCAGCACAGTAAGTAGCTGAAAGGGCCATCCATATAATACCTATATTATTCATGAACATATGTTGAGGTTATGAAATGACCTTTTTGGTCTTTATAATTGGGGTAAAATTAAGATAACTCAAATTGAAATTCATCCTCCCTCCTCCCCCACCCACACTGGAATTTGCACTCAGGGCCTCAAACTTGGTAAACAGGGTACTCTATGCTTGAACCACATCCCCTTCTGTGATTTCAACTCAGGGTGCTTTACCACTTAAACACTCATTGTCGTGGCGCTGTGGCTCAAGTGGTAGAGCGCTAGCCTTGAGCTGAAGAGCTGAGGGACACTGCCCAGGCCCAGAGCTCAGGCCCCACGACCAGACCAAAAACCTAAACACTCTGTCTTTTCTTATGTTATCATGAGGTGGTTTCTGTTTGTTTGTACGTAGATGTGCCAATACTGGCACTAAAACTTAATGCTTCACACTTTCACTTAGCTTCTTCACTCACAGCGTGGCTCTCTACCCTCTAAGCCAGCCACATCTCTATTTTGAGCATTTTGCTGGTTAATTGGAGACAGTCTCACTGACTTGTCTGCCCAGACGGTTTCAAATAATGACCCTTGGATCTCTGTCTCTTGAGTAGCTAGGATTATAGGCAGGCGTCATTGATACACAGAAGTGCATTTATGATGAATTTTTGTCAAGTATGAAATAGAGCTCCTGAAGAGAAAAAACACAATTTTACCTTTTTTATTGCACAATGCAGAAATCATGAATTATTCAGTGTTAGAGTAAAAACTTTCACCTCCATTAAATGATTGAGAGCTGTACACATGTAAACAGAAATAAAGAACAGCCATAATTTAGTATGAATAGAGCATGAATAGATATAGCATGTTTTCTCTAGTGCTAGTAGGTTTTGGTCTGAAAATAAAGCATTATTTATGGTAAGGAGAGCATAGCCAGGCACTAGTGGCTTACGCCTGTAATCCTAGCCACAGGAGTTCAAGCCACAGGACAGGCATAGAGACAAATGGAGATCATAAATATTAGCCAATGTTTTATTATTTAAAAGTACTTTGTATAGTCATATTTTGTTCATTATCAATTAAATCTTGCTAAGAAAGATACCGCCAATAGAAAGTGTAAAGGTACTTATAGCATTCCTCCAAAAAAAAAAAAACAAAAACAAAACCATACTTAGAGGTTTTTCTGGATGACCAGTTGTGAAATTTACTCTTGGGATTCTGGTCTGTCTGCCTCTTCTTGATTGCAGTTTGGCATTCCTCACACTCACACTGAGTGTTAGGGCTCCATTTCTCACTAGCTTTTGAAAGCACATTACTTCTACCCTGATTGTTTAAGTGGTGAAGACTAGCTTGATCTCTTCCAGTGCTATGTTTATATCTCAAGACATTCCACAGATACTTGTAATCTATGGCACCTTTTTTGGTGCTGTGTTCTTGTGATGATGAAAGTTTTAAGTAGGATGGGATGAAATTAGTAGGAAAAGGAAATTGTCAGGGTTTCTAATACTTTTCTAATATACCCCCTTTAAAACTTATTGTAATTCACTTTGTCCGCTGCTGTTTACACTTTCTGCTTGATGCTGTTAGCCTTGACTCTCAGCCAGCTCCTTGAAAAAGCAGTTCAGTGCATTGTGAAGTTTGGCGATGCATTGTGCTAAGAAAATCTTGAAGTGTTACCCATTGTTAGTGATAAATATGCAAAAGTAAATTTGAGGCCCTTAAGCTTTCATATCAGATGATTATATAAATTTTGCTCCTTATTAAATTGAACATTTATCAGGTATATCTGCTCTCAAGAAAGACTTTTTAAATATTTTACAGATCATAGATGCTTGGTAATTAAGAACGTAGTTGCTGAGATGTGTAGAATTGAGTTGTAAGAGCAAAGACCCCTGCAAGGCTTACTGTCCATATTGTGGTTTTCTGCTGAATTACTGAAAGTCCTGCCAGGATACTAGTGTTCATCAAAATCCTCTTACTTCTGGGAAACGTAGCTGTATTTCTCTGTGGTTAGCCTCTTTGGTGGACAGGTCAGCACACTGTCTGAATTACAGACCACTGCAGACTGTGCAGAAAAGCTTTTTTCTCAAAGAGGAATGAAAAGGCCTGCACATTTAGATACAGCACCTTATTTAACAGGATTCCTATTTGTGTGTGCGTGTGTGCGTGGGCGCATGCACATTATGTGCATATTTTGACTTCTGTTCGTAATTTGAGTTCTTTTCTTACAGATCTTTATTCCCATTTTACAAGGCCTGGCTCTTGCTGCCAAAGAGTGCTCACTTGATAGTGACTACTTTAAATACCCTCTTATGGTAAGTCTTTAAAAAAAAAAATTCTAGTACACTGAATAAATGTTTTTCTTTCTGACTACTTTAACTGAGTTTTTCTTTCAGGTCTCTGAATAATGTTGTTTTCCATTGCACACATGAAATGGTTATGTTGGCCATGCAGTGCCTGGTGTGCAGTGTGCAGCTGAGTGAAAACAACAGCTGGGACACAATCTGCCTCTCCCAGCCCTAGGCAGCCGTCAGCTGACTGGGCTCTACTTCACCATACTATACTCCTAACTCAGCCTCCTGAGTGCTGGGATTGCAGGCATGTACTACTATACCTGGCGTGTGATAAAATTTTGCTTTTCAAAAAAGTAATGTAGTCAGGCATTGGTGGCGCACGCTTAAAATCCTAGCTACTCAGGAAGCTGAAATTTTGAGGAAGGTGGTTCAGAGCCAGCCCAGGCAAACAAAGCCGGGAGACTCTTTCTCCAGTTAACCACTAAAAAAGCCAGAAGTGAAGTTGTGGCACAAGTGTTTCCGTGTCAGCCTTGATTGAAAGAGCTTAGGGGCAACCCCTTGGCCTTGAGCTCAAGCCCTACTACCAGCACAAGAAAAAAATTTTTTTAAGTAATGCAGTTGCTTTTCTTAAACTAAGAGAAGCAATAAATAGAGCTAATTTTTTTCAAGTTCTAGAAATAAGGACAAAATGTCAGAACGTGAAATTAGTTTACTGTATGTGTATATGCAACCTTGTGTAAATTGAGGCCTTGATAACATATATATATATATATATATATATATATATATATATATATATATATATATATTACTGTGTTCGTTACTGATTTGAGTCTGTTCACTTCCTGAGCATGTTCTGTACTAGTGCTGCATCACAGTTGCTTATGAGACAACACCTTCCATTAAGGTGCTCACAGTGCACCTCAGAATTCAGACCAGATCAAAAAAGTTAGGAATTGTCCTGTGATGATGGTACAACCAAGGTGTGTACAAAAGGTGCATTTTTTTTTCGAAAGCAAGTCCATCATCACATCACTTAAACATGGGGAAATGAGAAAGTGACAAGGAATTCTTTTAAACAAATAATTTTGAATGGATTCATGCTACAGAGCTCTTCCCATTGCACTTGTGGCAGACAGAACAGGAAGTGAACTAATCCGATTTAGTTCAGTTGTGAGATATTTGGTCTGTGTTGATGATCACTGTATTATGTAAATATTCCTTCTGAAATTGTTGACTTTTTGGTTGAATTAGCTTAGTGTTTCAGTGAGGAACTGTTAGTGTCAGATACCAACAAAATGTCCTTCTCAGTCAAAAGATAAAAGCTTCCATTGTTGTAGATAGTAATTTTATTTTGGGCCATTACTGATATACAATAGGGAGGGTTCAGTGAGAGAGAACAATAGTGAGAGGCATGAAGAGAAGACAGCTGGAACCAAATCAGAAATAATTGGGGCTGGGTACTGGTGTCTCACGCCTGTAATCCTAGGTACTCAGGAGGCTGAGATCTTAGGATTGTGGTTCATTGTGGTTCAAAGCCAGCCTACACAGGAAAGTCTGAGACTCTTATCACCAATAAACTTCTCAGAAAAAGCTAGAACTGTCACTCTGTCTCAAGTGATAGCATGCTAACCTTGAGCACAAAGAGGCCCTGGGACAGTGCCCAGGCCAGAGTTCAAGCCCCAGGACTGAAGATAAAGAAAGAAAGAATTGGGATTTTTCGCCAGCTCAGTGAACCCTACTGTGTCATACTTGGAGTCACTTAGGGTTCTTTACAAAATATTGTTGCCATTGTGTAAGGTGGCCCATGATAATCACCCAAGCACTCAGGAGGCTAAAGTAGGAGGATCCCTAGAAACTCAAAAAAGCCAACAACAATTAGGGTAAAAGTTAAAATGCTATCACCTGGCTCCCAGCCCCACGCACTGTGATTTAAATCATAGGGGGCACAGCATGGCACCAGGATTTTCTAGGCTTCCCCTATGATCCTGATGTGCAACGAAGTCTGTGATGCTCTGCCCTGGACAGTAAGCACTTGAACTTCTGTCTAGCTCCCTAAGCCTCACAGAGGCTGGACTTGCAGGTGTGCACCATCACAAACAATAGTTTAAAAAGTATTAGTTATTTTCATCAGTGCTGAACATCCATCCAAAGCTTCCTTAGCTATTTAGCAACCTAGTTGTGGCTAAACCAGACAAAAAGTAGAGTCCATACTCAGTATTGTTTAGTTTGTTTTCTTTTTCTTTTTTTTTTTTTTTGTCAGCTGTGGAACTTCGACCCAGGGTCTCGGTACTGTCCCTGAGCCTCTTTTTGTTTAAGGGTAATGCTTTACCACTTGAGCCATAGCACCATTTCTTCAGTATTGTTTGATTGAATTCCAGGAAACTGCTTACCTCTAAAAAAAAGTGCTCATCATAATTCTCTAAGAAGAGAATGATTGGAACACTGAAGAACACTTGGAATTTTCACATATACCACATAGCTTGAAACCGTCATGCTTTTAAAAAAAGATTCTGAGTTGATAGCTTGCTTTTTTTTTTTTTTTTTGGTACAAAGAAGTTAGAATTACACATGTTATGAATTCAGTGCTTCTTGTCAATGTTAACACTTCTATCATTCTCCTTTTTCCCCCCTCCCATCCCTATACTCAAGTTAATTATTACATAATCATTATATAATATACAATGAATATAATGATATTTGCTCATGCCCTTCCTTTGTGTGCCCAGCCTATTACCCTTTCCCCCCAAACATGTTGCTGCTTCCTGTTTTATTCTAGTTGTTTTTGTCTTTTTGCTTTTTTTTTAAAAAAAAATATTTACTTATTTATTTATTTATATTGATTTTTTGGGGGGGGCCGGCCGAGGGGCCTGAACTCCGGGCCTGGGCGCTGTCCCTCAGCTCTTCAGCTCAAGGCTAGCGCTCTACCACTTGAGCCACAGCGCCACTTCTGGCTTCTTTCTTTTTGCTTATGTGGTACTGAGGAATCGAACCCAGGGCCTCATGCATGCAAGGCAAGCGCTCTACCACTGAGCCACCTTCCCTGTCCTTTTTTTTTTTTTTTTAATAAAAATAAAGTTTGCCCAGGCTGGCCTTGAATTCAAGTACTTCTTTTTTGGCCTTCTAAATGCTAGAGTTTAAGGCATGTCCACCCTTGCCCAGCTTGATCACTATTTAAATCCTAAGTGCATTTATTTCTTCAAATCTATTTATAGAATATGTCTGGAAAGTTAGCAAAAATATCAACAGAAGTTATGTATGAGAATAAAGTGTGTAGTTTGTAGTTTTGGTTATATTTTTGCTTTATTGGGTGTTGTTTTTGCTGTTGTTTGTTTGTTTGTTGAGATAGAGACTAACTGTAGCTCAGGCTGGCCAATGCTGGGAATGCCATGCATATAAAATGCTTATGAAGTCAAAAAGTTCTAAGTCTGATAGCATCATAGAGTGAATGTACATGTTTGAGAGTAGCAGTTAAAGTTGTCCTTTGCTGCTACACAGGATAGCACTTTGAGAAGCAATATATTGATCTAATTCTTTCTTATATTATTTTTAGGCATTAGGTGAACTCTGTGAAACTAAGTTTGGAAAGACACACCCTGTGTGTAATTTGGTAAGTTTCTACTTGATATGTTCACACATTGTCAATGAACCTGTAAAAATACAGAATAATAGCAACTAAAACCTCTCTTAAGGGGTGGGAAGGTGGCTCAGTGGTAGAGCGCTTGCCTTGCATGCCTGAGGCCCTGGGTTCAATTCCTCAGCACCACAGAAGCAAAAAGAAAAAAGCCGGAAGTAGCACTGTGGCTCAAGTGGTAGAGCGCTAGCCTTGAGCTGAAGAGCTGAGGGACAGTGCCCAGGCCCAGAGTTCAGGTCCCACGACCAGACCCCCAAAAAATAACCTCTCTTAAAGGCATTTGGGTGTAAGTAGAGGTAAATACATCAGAGGCTCTCACCAACTGCTATTATATATGACATTTCTTGGAATGAAGTGTTTTACTACTATTATTTTAGGGAGAATAAGTATTTTCTAGAGCATAACAGGTACTATGGGGAGATGTATTTGAATCCTTTGGTAATATCAGAATGGTTTTTTTTTTTTTTTTTTAATGCCATCTAAGTCTATCTTGAAACATAAATGTGAAAATGTAGAGTTGGAGGATTTCCCTCCATTGAGGTGGGTAACTTCCACCAGGGCTCCTGACACCTTTGTGCCTTGTATTTGAGATGTTCAGGATCAACCGTTGTGCTGGTGATCAGAACCAGATGTGGAGAACATCACCCACTGCCTCTTCCCTGCTTCCTGCTCAGCAGCATGACCAGTCTTTTCCTTGTGTCTAGGTTGCCTCTTTGCCCTTGTGGTTGCCGAAGTCCTTAAGCCCTGGCTCCGGGAGGGAGCTGCAGAGACTGTCTTACCTGGGGGCCTTCTTTAGCTTCTCAGTCTTTGCAGAAGATGATGTAAGTCCAGTGGCTACTCAGATTTGCCGCTCTTTGTTCAGTCTCCTTCCCGCCCTGGGCTCATTCAGTGTTTTCTTTCTCTTTCCAGGCTAAAGTGGTAGAAAAATATTTCTCAGGTCCTGCCATTACCCTGGAAAACACCCGTGTGGTCAGCCAATCACTACAGCATTACTTGGAGTTGGGAAGGGTAGGTGTTTGGAAGAAGAATGAATGGATGAAAGATGAGTTGTTAGTACAGAACTTCCTACTTATTTTGTAGACAGGTTGTTGTCAATGCCCAAATGCTAATAAAAAGCCCCTAGAGCCAGGCACTGGTGGCTCACATCTATAATCCTAGCTACTCATGATTCAAAGCCAGCCCAGCCAGGGAAGTCCATGAGAGTCTTTATCTCTAATTAACCTCCAGAAAACAGAAAGTAGAGCTGTGGCTCAAAGTGGTAGAGCACTAGCATTGAGCAGAAAATCTCAGGGACAGCACCCAAGTCCTATGACCAACAACAACAAAAGTCCCTTAGATATTTTTAAAGAAGATATGCACTAGCTAAGTTAACAGGCCTCACAAGTATAAGGCCTTGAGTTCAAGTACTGGCAAAAGACAAAAACAAAAAAACCATAAGCTATGTATAAGTGATTTGCCTTTTTCTGATTTGCTTGTGTTGGGAATTAACCACAGGACCCTGTGCATGTTAATCAAAGGAGCTCCATCCCCAGCTCTCCATGTCTTGGGTAATAGCTACACCCATGCTGTGGTTCCTCTGTTAGCAGTGGCCACATTACCTCTGTAGCCTGCCCTTAGTCATTAAGTTTCTAGGTTGAGTGAGAGGTATTAGTTTGTACAAATCCTTTGCTGACCTACTTACCCATGTAGACTAATCTAACTTGTCTCCAATTCCAAAACATAAAAGTAAAGACTTACAGTTTTGGGTAACCAAATTCATTTTACTTTGCCCAAGGCAAAGTTTTGAGAAGTTTCATTAAAACCATAACTACTCACCTCCATGCCACACACTGCCTTTCTGCTATTGTCTCATCTTGGGTGCATGCATATGTGTCTTCATGTATACACTTCATGTGGTTAAGCTGTCCTGAAGTGAGGAAAAGTGGGAGAAGAGAGAATGTAGGAACTGGGCCACAGTCTTACGGAGTTTAATTTGTTTGTCTTCTTTTAAAAAATAATCTAGCAAGAGCTTTTCAAGATTCTGCATAGCGTTCTGTTGAATGGTGAAACCCGTGAAGCTGCCCTGGGTTACATGGCAGCTGTCGTCAATGCCAATATAAAGAAAGCACAGATGCAGGTAAGGTTTCTGAGACACTTTTGCTTTCACTTGCTCCCTAAATCCCTTCTACCATGACTTGCTCATGGTGGAATGCCGGATAGGAGGTACAGTTGTGATTTTTGATCAGGTACTGGGGAAGGCTTTTTTGAAGTGGTGACATCTGAATTGAGCCCTGACTGATGGGAAAGAGCCAACCATTGTAAAATTAGGAGGAAAAAAGCCTTCTAGATGACTATAAGGCACCAAGGTGGAAATGAGCTGCTTTGGTGCAACCCCTGTACACAATGGGCTTTTTGTGGCTGGGAAGGTGCAGTCATGGAGTTGGGATTGGGCTTATATATAAGGACTGTAAGGAGAATCTATGAGTGCAAAATGAAGTCTGGAGCAGACTCAAGGAGGCCAGTTACTAGGTCATAAGTACAGTAGTTTTGGTAATAAAGGCTGAGAATGGGGCTATGTGGTCTGAGTGGACAGGTCAAAGGGAGGGGCACCCTTCTTACATTTTCGTGGGGCCTGAACTCGGCCTGGATGCTGTCCTTCAGCTCTTCAACTCAAGGCTAGCGCTCTACCACTTGAGCCATAGCACCACTTCTGGCTTTTTCTGCTTATGTGGTGCTGAGGAATCGAACCCAGGGCTTCATGCAAGCACTACCACTGAGCCACCTTCCCAGCCCCCTTTCCTACTTTATTAATAAACTAGTATATGCTCTGTACATCACCTTTATAATAACAATTTAAAAGTAAAAATTGAAAATATTGAACAGGGCTGGGAAGGTGGCTCAGTGGTAGAGCGCTTGCCTTGTATGCCTGAGGCCCTGGGTTCGATTCCTCAGCACCACATAAGCAAAAAGAAAAAAGCCGGAAGTGGCGCTGTGGCTCAAATGGTAGAGTGCTAGCCTTGAGCTGAAGAGCTGAGGGACAGTGCCCAGGCCCAGAGTTCAGGCCTCACAACCAGACCTCCCCCCCCCCCCCAAAAAAAAATAAAAAATATTGAACAATAAATGATGTGACTCAGAAGCAGAAAAAAAAATGGTAGTCTTATCATTTCTAAAACTGAGACCTGGGTTCTGTGCCTTGGTTTTCCCATCTACTTACTGAGTGGAGATGATAGTGATACCTGCCCTGTAGGTGAAGCACCTGTAAAGCTGTTAGACCAGTACTGGGTGCCCAGCAACCACTTAGGTGGTGTTGGTCATCTTGTAATTGTTCTGTTATTAATGCTACCAGCTAGAGAAATTGGATTACTTGGTAACAAGTAGAATTATTTGTTCTGGTGGTTTTCATGGGAAATAAAAAGGACAACATTTAGTGTGCTTCTACGTACTAATCTTGAGGCTTTGAGGTTAATTGCTTACATCCTCTGACATTTGTTTCCTACCCTGTAAAGTATGATGTAGCATTTGACCATTGGGGTCATCGTGAAGCATGGGTCATGTTCCTCAGTTGACAGTGACTACATGTGCTCTTATTGGCTTTAGGATACTGTGGTGTTTGTTCCAAAATTTGTGTTCAGATTGGTATTTCAAGTAACTTTTTTTTCATACTTCACAGACAGATGATAGATTGGTATCTACAGATGGATTTATGCTCAATTTCCTTTGGGTACTACAGCAGCTAAGTACAAAAATCAAGTTAGAAACAGTTGATCCCACATATATATTCCACCCAAGATGTCGGATTACACTCCCCAATGATGAGACGCGAGTGAATGCAACAATGGAGGATGTGAACGACTGGCTGAGTGAACTTTGTGAGTAGCATGTTCATTGCTGGGTCATGAGCTCTACCAGCCTTTTACCTGGATGCATTTGTGACATACGTTCACACTAAATACTTATACAAGCTGGATGCAGGTGCTCACACCTGTAATCCTAGCTACACAGGAGGCTGAGATCTGAGGGTCGTGTTTCAAAACCAGCCCAGGCAAAGAAAGTCCATGAGACTCCTTATCTCCAATTAACCACCAGAAAACCAGAAGTGGCGTTGTGGCTCAAGTGGTAGAGCCCCACTAGCCTTGAGCTGAAGAGCTCAGGGACAGCACCTAGGCCCAGAGTTGAAAACCCACAACCAACTAAATAAATAAATAAATACTTATACAGTGAAAAAGTCCTTACTTTTTTAGGCCAAAACAGATACATAGAACATGTGAATGGGAATGTATTATTTTGAGTTATAAAAAAAAATTTAAATGATAGCAACTCTGTTATTACATAGATTGATTTTAGAATTATCTGCTGGTTGCTAGTGGCTCATGTCTGTAATCCTAACTGCTTAGAAGATTAGGCCTAGAGGATCAAGCTTTGAAGCCAGTCCAGATAGAAAAGTTCTTGAGACAGTATTTCTAATGAACTGGCAAAATACTGGACTGGAGATATGACTGAAGTGGTAGAGCACTATAGCAAGAAAGCTGAGCAAGAGCATGAGATCCTGATCTCAAGCCCCAGCACTGGCAACAAGAAAAAAAAATCCCATTAGATACTTCATGATGAATGAATATGTTTGGAAAATATGAGTATTTTGAAGGTATGATAATATTAATCTTCTCTATTGGTAACATAGCATATATTGTTTAATAATAGACATCAAAATCCACTCTACTACTTGAGACACAGCACCACTTCTGGCTTTTTCTGTTTATGTGGTACTGAGGAATAGAACCCAGGGCTTCATGCATGCTAGACAAGCACTGTACCACTAAGCCACATTCTCAGCCCATACACATGCTATTTTTAATGGAGAAAAATTAGAAACTACAAACATGCAGGGGAATATATTAATGTAACCTAGTACTACTTTGAGATTTTTTGGGGGGGGGCGGGGGGGGGGCAGTCATGGGGCCTGAAGTCTGGGCCACTGTCCCTGAGCTCTTCAGCTCAAGGCTAGCACTCTACCACAGCACTACTTCCAGCTTTTTTCTTTTTGCTTATGAGGTGCTGAGGAATCGAACCCAGGGCCTCATGCATGCAAGGCAAGCGTTCTACCACTGAGCCACCTTCCCAGCCCCTACTTTGAGATTTATGTACTGAAATGCTAGTGTATTTGAGATATTTGTATACTGAAAATTGAGAATGATTTTATAAAGTACACCAGAAAAATGTACCATAAAAGTCTGTTAGTAGAAATCTATGTAAACATTTAAATCGAATACCTGCTAATTGATGAAAATATGCTTAAACTTTTGGAAAATTCAAGAGTAATTTTCCAAACTGAATATTTGCATTGACTTATACTTAGAATAGATTTGATTTAGGGAATCTTGTTATTTTTCCTAGATGGAGACCAGCCTCCATTTTCTGAGCCAAAATTCCCCACAGAATGCTTCTTTCTCACCCTACATGCCCACCACCTCTCTATTCTGCCCAGTTGTCGTCGCTACATCCGCAGACTCCGCGCCATCCGGGAGCTGAATAGGTATGTGCCTTGTTGCCATGTCCTGGCATTGCCTACTTCTTGTTCTAAGGGAGCAGTTCCATTGTGTGCAGAGGATTTGAATGTGGGGTTTGTATGTTACAGTGTATTATCTGCCTCCTCTGCCATGTCTATATTCCTAAGTGTCCTCAAGTCTTCGCTGGTTAAAGTGATTCAAACCTTGATTCCTGGGAGTTCTGGATCCTAGGTGAGACTGTTCCAACTTCCAACTTCCCATGTCCTTCCACTAGACATGGTTTTCACATGAGCCATTTCCGAGATTCTCCAGGTTTCTAGACTTCCCCCTACCTGCTTACACTTGAAAACAGTAACCTTGTTTTCTCCTGTAATCAAAACAGTTCATTCCTTCCAACATGTATATCCCCTTTTGGTCTGTTTGCTGCGGCAGGAGTCCAAATGGCTATATAGCAGCCTCTGTTCTTATGCTTTAGCACTACTGTTCTATACCAATCCAGGTGTTTCTTTCCGAATACCGAATACCAGCATTATGGGAATATAGAAGCGTCTGTACATGTTTAACCTTACACCTACCCACCTAAAAAGTACTTATCCTAGCATTTACTTTATAGATTCTTCAAGATTCTTTTTTTTTTTTTTTTTTTTTTGGGTCCGGTCATGGGGCCTGAACTCTGGGCCTGGGCGCTGTCCCTCAGCTCGTCAGCTCAAGGCTAGCTCTCTACCACTTGAGCCACAGCGCCACTTCCGGCTTTTTTCTTTTTTGCTTCTGTGGTGCTGAGGAATCGAACCCAGGGCCTCATGCATGCAAGACAAGCACTCTACCACTGAGTCAACTTCCCAGCCCTCTTTAAGATTCTTCTACACATAATCATGTAAATAGTGGCAGTACTTTGCTTTATGATTTAGTACACTGACTATACATTTTTAATTAAAATATACATTAGATCATCTTTGTTCTCAGGAAATAAGTTTCAAGACCCTCAGTAGATACATTAAACCTTGGACACTGTCAAACTTTATATGTATTATATGTTTTCTTAGAAATATATTTCTAAAGCCAGTGCTGGTGGCTCATACCTGTAATCCTAGCTACTCAAGAAGCTGAGATCTGAGGATCACAATTGAAAGCCAGTCTAGGCAAGAAAGTCCCTGAGATTCTATCTCCAGTTAACCACCTCAAAACCTTAAGTGGAGTTGTGGCTCAAAGTGGTAGAGCGCTAGCCTTGAGCAGAAGAGCTCAGGGACAGCACCCAGGCCTAGACTTAAAGCCCTACAGCCAACAACAACAAAATATGACCAGTCTGTCTGTCTGTCTTTCTATATTTGTCTTACTTCGAGTTTTATTATGCTGTACTAACTGAGCATGGCTGAATACATGGAAAATGGAGCACTGAATAATGGGGGAATGACTTGTAACCTTCTTGAGATTTGTCATATCCAGTTTATAGGGGAGGGAAACCTTTTCAGATCAAAGGAATTCATATCTACTCAGGACAATAGATCTTTTTTTCCCCGTGTATTCTCTTAGTGTTGCTGAATTGTATCAGCTGGTTTTCTGATATTAATCTAATTTTTCATTCCTGGAATAAAGTGAATTTTCATAGTATTTTTGTATCTCATTGGATATTTGGTTTGCTAATAGTTTTAGGATTTTTTATTCTGCTCAAAAGAAAGATTGACTTAAAAATTTCACTTCTTGTTTGGTGCTTCTCAGATTTTGCTATCAGGTTTCTGCCCACCTTGTAAAATGAACAGGGAATATTCACATTTCTAATGTATACTATAAGAGGTTTTGTATATGAATTATGTTACTGCTTCCTTAAATGTAACAATTTTGCAATGAAGCTGTCCGGCCTTAACAGTTTACAATGTGAAAATTTTAATCATAGATTAAGTGCTAGGTCATCATTTCAATTTTTATACCAGTTTTTCCAGATGTGGGGTTTCCAAACACTGTTACAAAGTCATTTCTGGTGTTCTTTTTAATGTCTGTAGAGTCTGTGTGTGTTTTGTGCTGGTACTGGGGCATGAACTCCAATCCTGTCTAGCCTCTCCCTCACTAAGTTTTTCCTGCTCTTGGTTGGTGCTCTACCTCCTGAACCACACCTATAGTTTTATATTTTGCTTATTGGAGATAAGCATCTCATGGGTTTGCGTGGACTTCTGCCTTGGTTTAATTGTCTTTTTTTGTTAGTGCTTTTATTTTCTCTTGAGATGCATGCTTCTATTTTTTTCCACCTTGCTTGCATTTAAGACTCTTTTCCTGGGCTGGGAAGTTGGCTCAGTGGTAGAGCGCTTGCCTTGCATGCCTGAGGTCCTAGGTTCAATTCCTCAGCACCACATAAGCAAAAAGAAAAAAGCCAAAAGTGGTACTGTGGCTCAAGTGGTAGAGCACTAGCCTTGAGCTGAAGAGCTGAGGGACAGTGCCCAGGCCCAGAGTTCAGGCCCCACGACCGGACCCCTCCCCCCCCCCCCCAAAAAAAAGACTTTTCCTGTGAGCCTAGTTTTGACTACATTCTACATTATTAGTATGACAGGCCTTGTTTAGTTCAAAATATTTCACAATTTTTATTTTTTATTTGGCCATTTATAGATGTATTGTTTAAATTGCAGCTTCTTCATGGTTGGCCATCATTTGTTATTGATTTCTAGCTAAGTTCTCTTGATGTCTGAGTTACTTAAATCTTTAGAAATTTATTGAGAAATGATTTAGAGCCTAAAGACACTCCAAAACAATGCTTTCTTGTTGGTATATATCACTCAGGCCAAGTGTATTGATCTTTTAAGTTTGTCTTACCCCTGCTAATGTCATTAGATTTTTTTTTTCCAATTCTGGTGCTTGAACTCAAGGCCTGAGCACTCACTATTCCTGAGCTTCTTTTGTTTAAGGCTAGCACTCTACCACTTGAACCACAGTGTCACTTCTGGCTTTTTTTGGTACTGAGGAATTGAACCCAGGACTTCATGAAGCCTGCTAGGCATAACTCTACCACTAAACCACCTTCCCAGCCCTCTCATTAGATTTTGAGAGAGGCTTGTGCAGCTTTCAGACTCTGATTTCAGGTTTATCTGTTTTTCCATCTCAGCAAGGCCATCCTGACACCATACCAGTCCCACTGACTCTGGTGGGCCCATTTCAATGGTAGCAGATGTTACTTACTAGCAGCACTCTTGTGATCTTCTGAGATATTGATGTGCCTCTCAGCAGTGTACTTGTCAGTGCTGTGATAAAAGTGTCATAGGACACAATTGGGTGCATTGTGTTAGGAAGAAGATTTCTGAGCAAGTCATATATGGTAAATGTACATTAATATTCCAATTCCCTCTTCTAATTAGAGGAAGACCTAGTACCTCAGATTTACACTAGGTTACTGCAGTTCCTGCTTTTACTTAGCTCATTACATGTACATTGCATGTACTTAGCTCATTGCATATACATCCCAACCACTCGGGATAATAGTGAATCCAGAATAGCTGGTAGGTCTAATCTTTTTTATTTTTATTTTTTTGTCGGTCATGGGGCTTGAACTCTGGGCCTGAGCGCTGTGTCCCTCAGCTCTTCAGCTCAAGGCAAGCGCTCTACCACTTGAGCTACAGCGCCACTTCCAGTTTTCTGGTGGTTTATTGGAGATAGGAATCTCACAGTCTTTCCTGCCTGGGCTGGCTTTGAACTGCAATCCTCAGATCTCAGCCTCCTGAGTAGCTAGGATTACAGGCGTGAGCCACCAGTGCCCGGCAAGGTCTAATCTTGACAGTGAATTTAGTCCCACATGGGTCAAGGTTAGCATTTTCCTCTCCTGCTGACCAAGCATCCTCAGAATCTATTCCCACACAATCCACATAGATTCAGGTATAGGTAGAACACTAACATTCCAGAGGCCTTCACATTCTAGTGCATAGTATAGGACTTTGTAGATCATGATTAAGAATCTTGGGGGGGGGGCGGCTGGGAAGGTGGCTGAGTGGTAGAGCGCTTGCCTTGCATGCCTGAGGCCCTGGGTTCGATTCCTCAGCATCACATAAGCAAAAAGAAAAAAGCCAGAAGTGGCTTTTTGGCTCAAGTGGTAGAGCGCTCGCCTTGAGCCTTGAACTGAAGAGAGCAGGGACAGCGCCCAAGCCCAGAGTTCAAGCCCTGAGACCAACAATAAAATAAAATAAATTATTTTAAAAAAAGAATCTTGAGATAGGGAGATCCTGGATGATCTAGGTGGGTCCCATGGTATCACAAGGTCTTTGTAAGGAGGCGGGGAGGTCAGAGGGAAGGGATGTGATGATGGAAGCAGAGGAGGAATTATTGTGGCTTGGGGGGGTCACAACTGCTAAGCAATGCGGTTGATCTTGGAGGCTGGTATGGGAAAGGGAATGTGTTCTTCCCTACAGTCTCCAGAAGTATCAGCATCTGCTGACTCATTTTAGACTTCTTACCACCAGTAATTGTGGTGCTTCTTGTGCTAATTTGTTATTTAAACAACGCTAGAAAACTAATAAAACTTATTAGCAGATTTTGCCATAATTTTGAGAATTGATTTTGTAATTTCTCCTTGGCTCAGGTCTTGATCTGACTCTAGTTGTGGTTTGAGGCAGTGAAAGGTGATGGGGGCAGTCCTCTTAGGGAGTTGTGGTGGGAACTTCCTCTGCCAGCAAGAAAGGTTCAGAAGATTTAGTGATTTCGGAACAAGGAGTTACCACATTCTGCCATACTCTTCCATTTGTACTCCTGAGATTCTAGCCTTTGCCCTGATTTTCAAGTAGGAGGTCTAGGAAGGGTATGAATTTAGTCTGTGTTGTACTTTGGTAAGCTATAAAAACAGACGGCTTTTTAGAAACTTCCTGGTTCTGTGACTTTTTCTTGAGGTGAGAATTAGCCTCAAACCCATCGTTTTCTTTTTGTTCATTCTCCAGCATAAATTAAAAGTAGCCACTCTAAACCAAGCGCTGGTGGCTGGTGCCTGTAATCCTAGCTACTCTGGAAGCTGAGATCTGAGGATAAAGGTTTGAAGCCGCCAGGACAGAAAAGTTCATCAGACTTACCTCCAATTAATCACAAAAAATAACTGTGAGCTACTTCTTGGCCACAAAAAAAAGTAGCCACTCCATCTCAGAACCTTGGGCTACCAGTGTTCATTCTCAAATAATAATTAGATCTTTATCATTTTTAGGTAGCCTTGTTAAAAACTGACCCCAGAATACCATTCTGCTTGAGATCCTCCTTAGCAAGCTCACATGGTGTCAGTGGTTATGTGCATCATTGTGTATATTTCCTATGCCCACAGCCATAGGGACTTCAAAAAGCACACATACAGTTCTAGAGTCAAAAGTCCTAAAATTCAGTTTAGGCTACCCTGTGGAGAGAGTGGTTCCTGCCTCGCCCAGTTTTCAGAAGCCTCCTACTTTACTTTTTCCTTTCCTTTTTGCCAGTCCTGGGGCTTGAACTAAGGGCCTGGACACTGTCCCAGAGCTTCTTTGAGCTCAAGGCTAACGCTCCACCACTTAAGCCAAAGTACCACTTCTGGCTTTTTCTGAGTAGTTTATTGGAGATAAGAGTCTCATGGACTTTTCTGTCCAGGCTGGCTTCAAACCATGATCCTCATATCTCAGCCTCCTGAGTAGCTTGGATTACAGGTGTGAGCCAACAGCATCCGGCTAAGCCTCCTACTTTCCTTGACTTATGAAGACCTTGTCCTATTTCCAAATTCATCCATAAAGATGTCCAGATCTCTTCTCAGACTACCACTAACATTGTTACATTCCCCTCACTCTTACTCCCTCCTCTTAACAAGGACCCTTGTTATGACATTGTGCCCTAAAATAATCCAGGATAACCTCCCTGTATAATGGTTTATCACCCTCTAATCTGGGGTATGGCATCTTGAAAGAGCCATTATTCTGTCCACTATATTTCTATTTGATTTTGGTACCAATGAATTCACTTTATCTGGGATAAACAAAAAGATTTGTCATGGGAGTACTGTTGAGTTTATTGAATCATTGGAGTAGCTGGAAAAGATTCTCAGAGATGTTCTTTGAGCCAGCCTGACAAGGAAGCTGTTTCAGGGTTTAGTGGAGCTTCTTCTGTAGCCTCAGCTAATGCCCTCTGCCACCTGCTCTACAAGAATCCTGACATTCAAGCTTTGAAAGCTGATAAATAGCTTTAGCAAAATAGCAAGTCACAAAATCAACCCACAAAAATCAGTATACCAGGGCTGGGACTGTGGCTCAGTGTTGGAGTGCTTGCCTAGCATGCATGAAGCCTGGGTTTGATTCCTTAGTACCAGATAAACAGAAAAAGCTGGAAATGGTGCTCTGGCTCCAGTGGTAGAGTGTTAGCCTTGAGCAAAAGAAGCTCAAGGACAGAGGCCATGCCCTGAATTCAAGCCCCAGGACTGGCAAAAAAAAAGTTTTTTTTTTAAATCACTATACCAACAATGTGTATAAAGCACCAGAAGGAAGTCAAGAAAACAATTCCACTTGCAATATCCTCGAAAGAAAGAAAAGAAAGAAAGAAAGAAACAAACAAACCCAAAAAAGGAAGCAAAAGACTTCTATAATGAAAACTATAAAAATCAGAAAGAAGAAATTGAAAGTGACATCATGAACTGGAAAGACCTCCCATGTTCTTGAATAATAATGACCATATTACCAAACGTGATCTATGCAATTTAATGCAATCTCCATTATTATAATCCCAATGACCTTCACTGAGATAAACAACCCAAAAATTAATATGCAACAACAAAAGACCTTGAATAGCCAAAGTAATTTTAGGCAAAGGAAGCAATACTGGCAGTATCACAATTTCAGACCTCAAGCTCTACTATAGAGCTACAATAACAACAATTCGGTACTGGCACAAAAATGGGCCCAAAGATCAATGGTAGAATCCTGATAATAGTTGTTCTGCCTTCAGTTAGAGGCCTTCTCTTTGTCTAGTTCTGCAGAAATACTGACAACAGAAAAAAGTCTGAAAAGTGTGTGATAATAGACAGTACTGTCTACACAGTGTCATGAGACAAAATGAACTCATCTTTAATGAAGCATACTAGGTGATGCAAGAAGTTATTCCCTCCCTGATATTGAGATTCAATTGGGCGGGGCTGGGAAGGTGGCTCAGTGGTAGAGCGCTTGCCTTGCATGCATGAGGCCCTGGGTTCGATTCCCCAGCAACACATAAGCAAAAAGAAAAAAGCCGGAAGTGGGGCTGCGTCTTAAGTGGTAGAGCGCTAGACTTGAGCTGAAGAGCTGAGGGACACCGTCCAGGCCCAGAGTTCAGACCCCCCCAAAAAAAAAAAAAGAGATTCAATTGGGTACCTGAAAGAACTGAAGGAGAAAAATGTAAAGATAATCTCAGGGAAGGGCATTCCATGCAGAGGGATCAGCAGTTATAAAGAAGATCTTTAGCTAGGCAGTGCTGGCTCATGCTTGTTATTCTAGCTACTTGGGCAGGTTGAGATCTGGGGATCTTGGTTTGAAGTCAGCCTGGGCAGAAAAGTTCATAAGACTTACTTCCAGTTAAGCACCAAGAAAGTTGAAAGTGGAGCTATGGCTCAAATAGTAGAACTCAAGCAAAAAAGCTCAGGCAGCACCCAGGCCCTGATTTCAAGTCCCATGGCCAACTTAAACAAAAAAAGAAAGAACTTGCTGGTGCCAGTGGCTCATGCTTGTAATCCTATCTGCTCAGGAGGCTGAGATCTGAGGATTTTTTTGTAGTTCAAAACCAGCCCCTGGGAAAGTCTGTAAGTCTGTATTTCTATTCATCTCCAGTTAACCACCAGAAAACTGGATGTGGTGCTGTGGCTCAAAGTGGTAGAGAGCTCACCTTGAGCAAAAAGAGCTCACGAACAGACACCACCCAAGCCCCATGTTAAAGTCCCACTGCTGACAAAGTCAAAAATAGAGCTGTGGCTCAAGTGGTAGAGTGCTAACCTTGAGGAAAAAGAAGCTCATTGACAATTCGCAGGCCCCGAGTTTGAGCTCCAGAGCCAGCAGTACATTAAAAAAGAAAAAGAAAAAAAGAAAAGAAGGAAGAAATTGGACTGATTTGTTCCAATCCCTTGGAGAGGCCTGCTGGGAACAGGACTTCTAAAAGGCAAAATGTCTGGAAGGCTATGGTGCAAGGCCATTTTTGCTGGCTATAAGCGGGGTTTCCGGAACCAAAGGGAGCACACGGCTCTCCATAAAATTGAAGGCATTTATGCCTGAGGTGATACCAATTTCTACTTGGGCAAGAGATGTGTTTATGTATACAAAGCAAAAAACAACACAGTGACTCCTGGCAGCAAACCTAACAAAACCAGAGTAATCTAGGGAAAGGTAACGCGTGCCCATGGAGACAGTGGCATGGTTCGCGCCAAATTCTGAAGCAACCTTCCTGCTAAGGCCATTGGACACAGAATCCGTGTGATGCTGTACCCCTCCAGAATTTAAACTAATGAAAATTAAATAAAGTAAATCTGTGCTCTTGTGAAAGAAAAGAAAAGAAGACTTCTAGTAAAATAGCCTTTAACTCTGGTAATTAAGGAGTTATTTACAGAAATTTTAGTTTTACTAAAGTTTAGTTACAAAAAGTTTTTCTCAGCTGGGTGCTGGTGGCTCATGCCTGTCATCCTAGGTATGCAGGAGGCTGAATTTTAGTTTTACTAAAGTTTAGTTACAAAAAGTTTTTCTCAGCTGGGTGCTGGTGGCTCATGCCTGTCATCCTAGGTACGCAGGAGGCTGAGATCTGAGGATCATGGTTCGAAGACAGTTTGGGCAGGAATCGGAAACGGTGCTGTGGCTCAAGTGGTAGAGCACTAACCTTGAGCTGAAGAGCCGAGGGCCAGTGCCCAGGCCCAGAGTTCAAGCACAAATTGTCCCTCTCAGAAAGCTAAGGGAAGGTGTGCTTTTTTCCAGAGAATGTTATGAATATTATAGTTCATCAGATTTAAAGTGTTAACAATTTTAAGACATATCCTTATTTTGTTTGTTTTTTGTTTGTTTTTTTTTTTTGCCAGTCATGATACCTGAACTCTGGGCATGGGCACTGTCTCTCAGCTCTTCAGCTCAAGGCTAGTGTCCCTACCACTTGAGCCACAGCACCACTTCCAGCTTTTTCTGCTTATGTGGTGCTGAAGAATTGAACCCAGGGCCTCATGCATGCAAGGCAAGCACTCCACCACTGAGCCACCTTCCCAGCCCCATATCCTTATTTTACAAACCAATAAGAAGAAAAATTTTACCAATTAAATCATAAATTGGTTTTAAGATATGCTTTTACCTTAAATGTACTTGATGTAAAAAAGAAATTTATTGAGAATCAATGAAAGGATCAAAATGAATAGATGGGATAGATCCCAGTGGTTGCCTTCATTTGACTGTTGGTCTTTGATTTCAGGACTGTAGAAGATTTGAAAAATAATGAAAGCCAGTGGAAAGATTCTCCCCTGGCAACTAGACATCGTGAAATGTTGAAACGCTGTAAAACTCAGCTGAAGGTTTGTACAGTTAATTGGAATAATTAGGGACTAGCCTTATAATAATAATAGTAATTTTCCTGCCAGAGGATGTGCCCTGAGTGAATAGTGCAGTGTTTTATTTTTTTCATTATTTTGCTTGAAGATAAAAATAGGCCATTTGTAAATCTATGTGTAATCATTTCAATTTTCACACAGAACATACACATGCATATGTAGTGATGATGTACACTCTTAGGGGCTTTCCTTAATCTCAGTTTAACATCGCCACCCCTTCCTTGCTGTGTGCAGAACACCTTCTGATCCCACCCACATACTCTAGTACTACTTCTGGCATTGTAGAAAGATCTCTCTACTTGGCCCCACACTTCAGTCTTACTTGAAAATGATCCATCTTGAAGAACCTAACTATGAATGGAAATATTTTTCTGGTGAGACTTAGCTGAAAACAAATGCTGGCTGACCTTTACAAGGAAAGCATAGAAGATAGCAAATTCATGATTTCAGGGATTTGAGGTGGAGGAGAGGGGTGCTAGTAGGCTAGACTGCTTCAAGATGAGGAATACACTAGGGGCTCTTATCTGGATGCTCAGTCTTCCTAAATATTCTAAGATGTGTTCCCAGGGATGTGTACATTGTTTCAATCTGTATGTCAGTGTGTGTGTACATATGTGTGTTACCCTCACACAGTTTTCTGAGGTAAGTATTACAGCCCTAGTGGGCAACTCATACACGGTGATGCTGGAATTCAGATGTGATTTGTCTGGCTTTTTTCCACTAACTGTCCTGGCACCCGAAGGGCTTCCCCATCAACCCAAGTTATTGAAATATGACAGTAAGAACTAACCTTCTTGAGCACTAACCGTGTGCTAGACTCTGTGCTCAGTGGTTTGCATGGCATACCTTTTGTTTTTCTCAGGAAAAGAAAGATCTTGAGACCCAACCAGCATCCTTTAGCTAGAGAGGCAGGGCCAGCCCTAGGTCTCTGGCTCCGTTCCCTGCCCAGTCACGCTGAGGGCCTTGGCTCCTGACTAATCTCTGGGTGGGGGCACACCTACTTCCACAGAAACTGGTACGGTGCAAGGCCTGTGCTGACGCTGGCTTACTTGACGAGAGCTTCCTGAGAAGATGTCTGAATTTTTATGGCCTTCTCATTCAGCTGCTGCTCCGCATCCTGGACCCTGCATACCCCGAGTGAGTGTGCTCTTTCCTCTTTGCCTGTCTCTACTTGTCTGGGCTGTGTTGTGTCAGTTGTTCTTCAGAGTCCATAACAAAGCCAAAACTTCTTAAGAATTTGTTTCTCAGGTTCAAGGTTATATTTATATACTATTAATTCATTTATATTAATGGCTATTTTTCCCTACAGTTAACAGCTATCGGAGGGGTGAATATTAGCTTCTGTTTTTAAGGCTATGACTATATTATTTTTTTAATTTGCTGTAGGAAATGGAAGTTTATAAATTACAAACTAATTCTGGAAATAACAGATCCAGGAAAAATGCCCAGCTAATTCAGAGAATAAGCAAAGGACATTCCCAATCACTTCATTTTATTGTGTGTTTATATTTATTATGAAGTCTATAGGTCACTGTTGGTGAGAGTGACCCCCACCCCTTATAGGAATGGAAAATGTTAAAAAATACACTTGTGGCTCTTTTGGCTTTTTTTAGTTTGTTGTACAAAATGGCCATTACCTTTTTGTTTCCTTCTAATTTTATTTCACTAACTTTGAACAAGAAGTCAAGACAAGGGGAAACATTTCACACACCCTGAACATTACTCTCCATTTCTAGTTGTGGTTACTTTACCTGTATAATTGTTACAGGTTGTGTTAGAGGATTAGGATACTTTCCTTAAGGAATATATTATTGATAAGTAGTATGATAATTCAGTATTTTAATGTGTTACAATTTAATTTTGTAAATTATGTTCTTTTTTCCTCTTTGACAGCATAACACTGCCTTTAAATTCAGATGTCCCCAAGGTATTTGCAGCGTTGCCTGAGTTTTATGTAGAAGATGTTGCTGAATTTTTATTTTTTATTGTTCAGTAAGTGCCTTTGACACATTATATAATTCTAATATGTTTTTATATGTAATATGCACATATTATTGTAAACATTGTTGCAACCTTCTATTTTGGGCCTGGAATTTTTTTTCTATTTATTTATTTGTATTTGTATTGTCAAAATACCGTACAGAAGAGTTACAATTACATGGGCAAGATAATGAGTACATTTCTTTTTGTTGTTGGTTTTTGTTTTTTGTTGTTGTTTTGTTGGCCATGGGCCTGAACTCTGGGCCTGGGTGCTGTCCCTCAGCTCTTCAGCTCAAGGTTAGCTCTCTACCACTTGAGCCACAGCACCACTTCCGGCCTTTTCTGTTTATATGGTGCTGAGGAATCGAACCCAGAGCCTCATGCATGCAAGGCAACCACTCTACCACTGAGCTACCTTCCCAGCCCCATGAGTACATTTCTTATCAAGCATTGTTGCCTCCTCCAGGCCTGGAATTTTTTTTTTGGTGGTTTTTTTATGGTTGTTGTTTTGTTTTTTGTCAGTTGTAGGGCTTGAACTGAGGGCCTAGGTGCTATCCCTGAGCCTCTTTGTGTTCAAAGCTAGCACTCTACCACTTGAGCCTCAGCGCCACTTCCATTTTTGAATAGTTAATTGGAGATAAGAGTGTCACAGCAACTTTTCTCCCCAGGCTGACTTTGAACCACAATCCTCAGATCTCAGCTTTGTGAGTAACAAGCCACAGGTTCCCTACTAGGCCTGAAGTTTTATGTAACTTTTTAACTGAATGCTGCCTAGAGACTGGAGAAATAAATCAAGTCTGTGGCACCAGGCCTATTCCAATAATGCTTCCAGGACAGAAGTAGGATTAACAATGCAGCTAATAATGTATTCTGTGAAAATTGAGTTGAATTTCTAGTAGTGGAGTATATGTTACTGGGAAACAGAACAGGTTATAAACATCCCAATAAACATCCAAAACCCAGAAATATCCACACATCTATATTTTGAACTAAAAGTTGTCTCAGTTGTAAAATTGGGAAACTTATAAACAGCTTAGTCTTATAACTGATATTTGAGATTTTGTTTTTCCTTGGTGCCAATCCTGGGCTTGAACTCAGGACCTGGTTGCTGTCCCTGAGTTGAATTTTGCTTAAAGCTAGTGCTCTACTACTTGAGCCACAGCTCCATTTCTGGCTTTTGTGGCTGTTAATTGGTGATAAGAATCTCATGGACTTCCCTGCCTGGTCTGGATTCAAACCACCATCTTCAGATCTCAGCCTCCTAAGTAGCTAGGGTTACAGGTATCTGGCACTGGCACTGGCATCCAGCTGTTTGTTTTTAGAAATCCTCATTCAAGGATGAGGGTATATTTAGTTGGATAACTTGCCAGTCATATGATAAGCATGGATTTAATCCCCACTACCACCAAACATTAATTAATTTGACATTTCCCTTTTTTAACATTGTAGATTAGAAAAATTGTAACTGCAATTCCTTGTCACCATGATGTTACTGTAGTAGCATCAGCTAGGAGTTGGAATGATAATGTAAAAGCTATTTCCCAAGAAAAAGTAGTTAGTTGTAGGTTCATAGTCATAAATATATAAATATAATATACTTATACATATTTTCTAACAGAAAAATCCAAGATTAATATGTGATCCTTAAAGATGTTTTTAATTTTCATATGTATTAAAATTTTATTCTTAAAGAAATAGTTAAAATGGACCAGTTGCATTGCTGGCAAAAGCTGTGTCCATCTGGGCACTGGTGGTTTATATCTGTAATCCTAGCTACTCAGGAGGCTGATATCTGAGGATCATGGTTCAAAGCCAGCACAGGCAGAAAAGTCTGTAAAACTCTTCCAGTAAGCCACTAGAAAACTGGAAGTGGTGCTGTGGCTCAAGTGGTACAGCCTTTGCCTTGAGCTGAAGAACTGAGGGACAGCGCCAAGGCTCAGAGTTCAAGCTGTGTCCAAAGACAGACCTGATCTGTAGTGACACTTAAATTTTGAGTGGTGAGAAATATAAAGGGTAACTGAATATCATAGTTTTTTTGTTGAATGAAGCAAGCCTTGGGATTCTAGTACTTAAGTACAAGTATAGTTAACAGTGCAATGCTGTGTATGTATAACCCCAGTACTCAGAAGGCCAAGGCTGGATCATGAGTTTGGCCAGCCTGGGCTACTTAGTAAGACCCTATCACAAAAAACAACTACACCAAAACTCACTTGGAAATTTTTCTTTTTTTGTACCTGGGCTTGAACTCAAGGCTAGCACCCTACCACTTGGGCCACAATTCCATTTCTGGTTTTTTAGTGGTTAATTGGAGATAAGTCTCATAGTCTTTCATGCCTAGGCTGGCTTTGAACCACAATCCTCAGATCTCAGCTTCCTGAGTAACTAGGATTACAGATGGGAGCCACCAGCTCTTGGCTAGAAGCTTTTTTTAATACTTTTTTGGTAATGAAAGTCTTCTGTGAAATTTCCTTGATTTAATTATAGCTTTGTTTTCTAAAGGGTAAGTTTATGCAGCATATGACAGCCAATGCATGTTTTTTTGCTCATTCTGGTCCTGAATTCAGGCCCTCTCAATCTTGCTCTGCTTGCTGACTCACTGCTGCTGCTCTACCACTTAAGGCATGCTTCCAGTATTTTTTAAAAATTGAAACAGGGTCTCTCAGTATCCCTGCTGGCCTCATGCTAACTATGTGGCTCAGGTTGGTCCCAGGTGATCCTCCTGCCTCTTCTTCCTAAGTACTGGGATTGTGGGGGTTCCACTGCACCTGGTTTACATATGTCTATTTACAGTGTACATTGTAACTTTCAACTTGTTTAATTTAAAGGGGTTCAGTGTCCTTTCCTATATTATTTATCCTTTTGTCCTACCTGTACTTAATGATATCCTAGGACAGTTTTTCAGATTCATTTCTTGTCCTTCTTGCCTCTATTCAGATACTCTCCTCAGGTGCTTTATGAGCCCTGTACTCAGGATATTGTGATGTTCCTCGTTGTGATGTTGTGCAACCAGAACTACATCCGGAATCCATACCTAGTGGCCAAACTGGTAGAAGTTATGTTTATGACCAACCCTGCTGTCCAGCCACGAACCCAGAAATTTTTTGAGATGATTGAGAACCATCCTCTCTCTACCAAGTTACTGGTACCTTCTCTGATGAAGTTCTATACAGGTAGGTTCCTGAGTATGCCACATAACATGTGGTAGTCAGACTTGGGCAATGTTTTCTGAAGCCAGTTGTGATACTGTTGTACTCTTGAAACAACAGAGAGCATAGAGACACACTATAAAGAGACTTTTCTTTTCTGGTTGATTATATTCCAACTGGCATCAAGAGTACAGCTCTTTGTTGGTCAGAGTATTCTAGTGTTCAAGAACTGTCAACGAGCTGGGCACTGGTGGCTCATGCCTGTAATCGTAGCTACTCAGGAGGCTGAGATCTGTGGATCGCCGTTCAAAGCCAGCCTGGGCAAGAAAGTCTGTGAGACTCTTATCTCCACTAAACCACTAGAAAACTGGAAGTGGTGCTGTGGCTCAAGCTGTAGAGCGCTCGTCTTGAGCTGAAGAGTGTAAGGACAGCGCCCAAACGCAGAGTTCAATCCCTACAACCGACAAAAAAAAAAAAAAAAAGAACAGTCAACAAAGCCTGGCACTAAGGCTGGGAAGGTGGCTCAGTGGTAGAGTGCTTGCCTTGCATGCCTGAGGCCCTGGGTTCAATTCCTCAGCACCACATAAGCAAAAAGAAAAAAGCCAAAAGTGGCACTGTGGCTCAAGTGGTAGAGTGCTAGCCTTGAGCTGAAGAGCTGAGGGACAGCACCCAGGCCCAGAGTTCAGGCCCCATGACCAGCCCCCCCCCCCAAAAAAAAAAAACAAACAAAACCTAGCACTGGTGCTCACACCTGTAATCCTATTTACTGAGATCTGAGGATTGTTATTCAGAGTCGGCCCAGGCAGGAAAGTCTGTGAGACTCTTATCTCCAATAAACCACTAGAAAACCAGAAGTGGCCCTGTGGCTTAAGTGGTAGAGTGCTCCCCTTGAGCTGAAGAGCTCAGGGATAGCCCCAGGCCAGAATTCAAGCCCCAGGACCAACAATAAAAAAAAGAAAAAGAAAAGAAAGAACAGTTAATGACTGTCAATCAGGGCCTGTTTCTTCTTATTTGGGGCCCAAGCTGTTATCTCTCTGAACAGAGTCTGAGCAGTCTAAGAATCTGCCTTCCTGCTTTTCCCTTTATTTCTATTTTATGGTGCCTGATAAAGAGTTTCAGACAGACTCTTTTAAATCTAAAACCAGCAAGAAGTTTGCTAACATCTTTCTTCTGAGGCTTTAGAGAGCTCTGTTGGGGAAAAGTTTCTCTTGCCTGAAAATCCCTTTTCTTTAGGCATTTTATGTGATAAACACTAGTCATTTAGGTACAAGTGGTTTCTTATGCTTATCAGGATAGAACTTTGTAGTCTGCACATATTAAGAGAGGGAGACGGAGCTGGGAAGACGGCTTAGTGGTGGAGTGCTTGCCTCGCATGCATGAGGCCCTGGGTTCCATTCCTCAGCACCACATAAGAAGAAAAAGCTGAAAGTGGCGCTGTGGCTCAAGTGGTAGAGCACTAGCCTTGAGCTGAAGAGCTCAGGGACAGCACTCAGGCCCAGAGTTCAGGTTCCACGACCAACAAAAAAAAAAAAAAAAGAGAGAGAGAGAGAGAGAGAGGGAGACAGACAGACACCTACAAAAGCCAACCCAATAGCCAGTGGGTAAAATTAATACTATGAAACTCTCAGGAATATGTAAATTGATAAAGCCTTCTTTTTTTTTTTTTTTTTTTTTTGGTTCTGGTCGTGGGGCCTGAACTCTGGGCCTGGGCGCTGTCCCTCAGCTCAAGGCTAGCTCTCTACCACTTGAGCCACAGTGCCACTTCTGGCTTTTTTCTTTTTGCTTATGTGGTGCTGAGGAATCGAACCCGGGGTCTCATGCATGCAAGGCAAGCACTCTACCACTGAGCCACCTTCCCAGCCCTGATAAAGCCTTCTTATAAGCATGTTTGGCCAAACCAAGTCCCTTAAAAAAAAATGCCCTGTGTGTCATTCAAGACACATTCAGGAAAGCAGAAATATACCCAATCTTTTAAGAGAAAATTTAATATACAGAATTAGTTGAGTAGGTATTGAAAGATTGACTTGGTCCAAAACTGACAGTGTAGTGGCAGGAAACAGATCTTACTTACTCAAGAGGAGTCAGAGGAAGAGTTTGGGATTATTAGAACCTAACTACACAAACGAGGATATGGACTAGACCAGGTCCCAGACCTCTGAGGGAGGATATTGCTTGGCAGCACTAGGGTCTCTGAAGGCTGGCCAGGTTGGTAACTTAGGACTATTAGACAGAGCTGAAAACAGACATCGATTGCCATCACAGGAGTAGAGAGCCACTGCTGACAAGAATGAGAGGATCCAAGTCCCTTGCCTCTTGTTAGCCATTTTCTAGTTACCTTGCAGTACCTCCTATCGGTCTGCTGGCAAAAGGAAAATTCTGTAGTCCAAGCCCTGAGTCATGAAGCAAGCCTAAAGAATGTTCCTGATCTGAGACTACTTAATACCAGCTCATCTTCTTACTTGTAAATTTACCCCCCAGTATTTTATTCTGTGGGAGTATGAATGTGTGTACGTTTTAGTGGTAGATGGCATCCACCATAACTTATAAATATGGCACAGTGAAATGTATCTGCTGATTGTAGGTGAATTAAATACATATATTAACCATGAAAAGTATTGTTTTCAGTGGTTAAGTAACAAAAGGTAAAAAAAAAAAATCCATGGTTTGGTACACAGTGCAGAGAGGGATATTAATAATGAGTTGGTCTGCTGTGAGGCTTGAACTTGGCCTGGGTCCTGTCCCTGAGCTTCTTGGTGCTCAAGGCTAATGCTCTATCACTTGAGTCACAGTGCCACTTTTGGTTTTTAATGGTTAATTGGAGGTAAGAGTCTGACCGGGACTTTTCTGCCCAGACTAGCTTTAAACCACAATCTTTTATCAGTGGTTAAAAAAGAAAGACAAGGGCTGGGAAGGTGGCTCAGTGGTAGAGCGCTTGCCTTGCATGCATGAGGCCCTGGGTTCGATTCCTCAGCACCACATAAGCAAAATGAAAAAAGCCGGAAGTGGTGCTGTGGCTCAAGTGGAAGAGCGCTAGCTTTGATCTGAAGAGCTGAGCGACAGCACCCAGGCCCAGAGTTCAGCCCCATGACCGGACCAAAAAAAAAAAAGAAAGACAAAAATCAATCAAATGTACTTAGTACTTACTTTGGAACCCTGGGCCTATCACTATGATGTCAGGAGATCTGTCTGTATGCCTATGTCTTATGGGAAAAGGGCAAGGCTGGATGGGGCTCACTAGCCATGTTCCAGGAGCTAGGGAGTATTATTCTCTTTCCCTTCCATGGAACAGTGTGCCCTCCAGGCTGGACCACCTCTGTGGTCAATGATAGATGATGTTTGTCCTAATAATAGCTACCACTCATCAAATACTTGCTAATCCGTTCACTTGATCTGCATAGCAGTCCTAAGGACAGATACTATAAATACCTACATCTTACAAAAGAGGAAACTAAAGCTCAGAAAGGACAGGGGTTTGTGAAGGTCAGCAGCTAGTGAGTGGCAGCATCTCAGAGGTTCGATGCAGGTGCCAGGCACCAAGGACCTTCAGGAAGGAGAGAGCCCTCCACAGTGCCTCCAGATTCCCGGGTCTGCTGATTAGGTCCTATTCCATCTGACTGTCAGATGTGGTTTAGAGTTGTATAACACATAATCGATCAATGAAGCAAGCTCTTCTTAGGCCACAGACAGAGGGTTCTAACTCAGGAAATACTTGTGCTTCAGCTTTTGTTTCAAAAATAAAGTTAGGGTTCAAAATATTACAACAATCTGTTCCTTCAAGAACTTAAACTTTTTTTTTTTTTTTTTGGGTCCGGTCATGGGGCCTGAACTTGGCCTGGGCACTGTCCCTCAGCTCTTCAGCTCAAGGCTAGCACTCTACCACTTGAGCCACAGCGCCACTTCCGGCTTTTTTCTTTTTGCTTATTTGGTGCTGAGGAATCGAACCCAGGGCCTCATGCATTCAAGGCAAGCGCTCCACCACTGAGCCACCTTCCCAGCCCCAAGAACTTAAACTTTTGAAGACAGGAAAATCACAGATAAAGCAGACTTACTTTGAGACTCTTCCCTTCCTCTAGGCTGATCTGAATGAGTAAAGCCAGCATGGCTGAAGTAGAGCCCACCACAAATTCAGCCAGTGTTTATGGTATTCCTACTGGGCAATACCAGAATCACTTAGTGGGAGATGGATTGGACAGGTAGAAAGACACTGGGAGAAAGTTATGGGCAGAGGTGGGCTACTTCTGGGACAATATTTAGAGGAAGTCTGAGGACAGGAGATGACTGTGTGAGCTGTTGATAGTTTTCAGCCACAGTGTGTCAGAAAAGCAACAGCCAATGAGTGTAAAATCCTTGGGCAAGAAGTCTCACAGCAACAAGAGTGTGGTGGGAGATAAGGTTAGAGGTCAAGCTTGCTTGGTTTTAAGGACTTCTAAACTATGACTTGGGAAATGGGACTTGGACCAGTGTGATATTGAGGAGACTTTAGGAGCAGTTTTTTTTTTTAAATTGGATAGATGTAAACTGATGGATAATAAATTAACAAATTAGCCTCTGCTATGTTCAGAATGGAATCTAAACATGGGCAGCTTTGGATGCTAAGAAGTGCAATGCCAGTCCCAGCTTCTGTCTCTTCTGGGCTCAACTTAAATTGCTCACTCTCCACTCTGTAGTTCACACCTCTACAAGCAAACTGGCATTTAGTTCATCTGAAGATCTGAACATGAGAGGTGCTATTGTCTTGTTCTGTTTTTTATTATTTAATAACTATTTTCTCTTTTGGTCATGGGAAATGTATACTTAGGAAATAGAGAAGATAGAAAGAAAAAAAAAGCCAGATGCTGGTGGCTCACACCTGTAATTCTAACTACTCAGGAGGATGAGATCTGAGAATCTTTGTTCGAAGCCAGCCTGGGCAGGAAAGACCATGAAATTTATCTCCAATTAACCAACAAAAAGCCCAAAATGGAGCTATGGCTCAAGTGGTAGAAGATCCTTAATTGAAAAAGCTAAGTAAGAGTGAGTGAAAGGCCCTGGTGAGGTAAGGAAGGAAAGAAAGAAGGGAAAGGAGGGAGGGAGAAAGAAAGGGAAGGAAAGAAACAAAAAGGAGGGCAGCCAGTTTTGCTCTGTATCTTTCCAGTCACTTTATTTTTGCAAGGCTGTGATTGGCCCAAACTCTCCATATAGATTTTACTTGATATATTACAAAAAGGTTTCATATTCTGTTTGGGGGCATTTGGGTTATTTATTGATTTTTTTTTTTTCTGTAATAAAAATAGTACTTTGGAGCCGGGCGCTGGTGGCTCACGCCTGTAATCCTAGCTACTCAGGAGGCTGAGATCTGAGGATCACGGTTCAAAGCCAGCCCGGGCAGGAAAGACCGTGAGACTCCTATCTCCAATAAAACCACCAGAAAACCAGAAGTGGTGCTGTAGCTCAAGTGGTAGAGCACTCGCTTTGAGCTGAAGAGCTGAGGGACAGTGCCCAGGCCCAGAGTTCAAGCCCCACGACCGACAAAAAAAAAAATAGTACTTTGCCTTTGGGCTAGGAACATAGCTCAGTGCTAGTATGTTTGCCTAGCAGAGCAAAGCCCTGTATTCTAGCCCCAGCACCACACATACCAAAACAACAACAACAAAAAACTTCTTTGTTAATTTTCGTTGAAATCAGACTTGAGAATATATTTTCTCAAGTAGTTTGTGACCAGAGGGAAGGAAATGTGTTGATAGTTTGTGCTGTATTTTGTCAAATTGTCTTTAGAGAAATTGTGTCACCATTTTCCCAGCAGCGTATGTACTCTGCCAATTTCTCCAGATCTTCAGTTCTGTTCATTCTTATCACTTACTAATGTCTGCAAATTACCAGCTGGGCTCTAGTAATTCACACCTGTAATCCTAGCTACTGAGGAGCTTGAGATCTCAGGATCTCAGTTTGAAGCCAGACTAGGCAGGAAAGTCCATGAGACACTTTTTTTTTGTCGGTCATGGGGCCTGAACTCTGGGCCTAGGCACTGTTCCTCAGCTCTTCAGCTCATGGCTAGCGCTCTACCATTTGAGCTATAGCACTTTTTTCTGCTTATATGGTGCTGAGGAATCGAACCCAGGACCTAATGCATGCAAGGCAAGCACTCTACCACTGAGCCACCTTCCCAGCCCTCCATGAGCCTCTTTTTTTTCTTTTTTCTTTTTTTTTTTCTTTTTGCTTATGTGGTGCTAAGGAATCGAACCCAGGGCCTCATGCATGCAAGGCAAGCGCTCTACCACTGAGCCACTTTCCCAGCCCTCCATGAGACTCTTATCTCCAATTAACCACCAGAAAACAGAAGTGGCACTGTGGCTCAAGTAGTGAAAAGCTCAGGGACAACACCCAGACCCAGAGTTCAAGCCCCATGACTGACAAAAAGAGAGAGAGAGGAAGAAAGAGAGAGGGAGAAGGACAGGGAGAGGGAGGGAGGGAATGTTAATGATACAGAGTATTTAAAATAAGCATTTAACATGTACATATCCTTCATTAAAATATAACCCAATTTTTTTCTACACAAGCTCATAACTTTTCTCTTGGTTTATGTGCAAGATGTAAATCAAATTTTATCTCTGATTTTGCAGATTTATATTCCTTCAGTATCGTAGTGGCAATAACTATTTGGAAAGGACATGTCCCTTAGTCCCTTTGTCTTTTTTCTTTAGACGTGGAGCACACTGGAGCTACCAGCGAGTTCTATGACAAGTTCACAATCCGCTATCACATTAGTACCATTTTTAAAAGCCTTTGGCAAAACATTGCTCACCATGGCACCTTTATGGAAGAGTTCAAGTGAGTATGGGCTCCTAAGCCACAACCTGCTCTCCCTTGAGTCAGGTAGGGTTGTAACTTTTTAAAAGCTTTCACAGCTGGGTTCCTGTTGACTTTTCTTCCTCTCAGCTTTGGGTGGGCATGCTGGCCCTGATGTACTGCTGCATGTGGCACAGTTCTCTAAATGTCTATGCTATACAATATTGCTTAATTCCAAATTAGTCCCCACACTTTGGGGTGGGTTACATAGAAGAAATTTATGTTAATGTTCTTATGAGTTTATTCTGTTTTGTTTTTTGGTGATTTTTCTGACTGCTCAGAAAATTTTGAAATATTTATTAAATGACTTTCATGAGCCAATAAAGGTAGCTCCAGCAAGCCACTAGATAGAATGAGTTTATCACAGTGAATTAAAAAGAATAATCATACTAGATGTGCTGCACATACCTGTAATCCCAGCACTTGGGAAGATGTCAGGAAGCTCATGAGTTTAAGGTTAGTGTGGGCTGCATGAGACCCTGTCTCAAAAATATACAACAAGCCAGGCACTAGTGACTCATGTCTGTAATCCTAGCTACTCAGGAGGCTGAGATCTGAGGATCATGGTTCAAAGCCAGCCTGGGAAGTAAAGTCTATGAGACTATCTCCAATTAATACCAGAAAACCGGAAGTGGCACTGTGGCTCTAGTGATAGAGTGCTAGCCTTGAGCTGAAGAGCTGAGGAACAGTGCTCAGGCCCAGAGTTCAAGTCCCACGACCAACAAAACAAAACAAAACATTCAACTCCCAGCAAGATGATTTAGGCCTGTCATCCCAGCTACTCAGAAAGATTGAGGTTCAAGGTCAGCCTGGGTAAAAAGTTAGACTTCATCTCAACAAGCAAACCTGACAGTGGTGGTGCACTGCTGTAATTGCAGCTACTTGGGAGGCATAGGTAGGAGGAGGGTGAGGTGATCCTAGGCTAGTCCAGGCAAAAAGAAAGAACCTAAAACCAAAAAAGGCTAAAGGCACAGAAATAGAGGGATAAAAGGTGAACAAGTGTAGCAGTGGTACTTATTAGACAGAATGTTGAAAATGAACTATACAGCTTGTGGTAAGAACAGGAGGGAAAAACTGGGAAGTGAGAGGGAAGGGGTGACACTGTCCAAAAAGAAACGTACTCTAAGTGATTTATGTAACTGTTACACCTCTGTACATCATCTGTATAATAACAAATAATGGGGCCGGGCGCCGGTGGCTCATGCCTGTAATCCTAGCTACTCAGGAGGCTGAGATCTGAGGATCATGGTTCAAAGCCAGCCCAGGCAGGAAAGTCTGTGAGACTCCTATCTCCAATAAACCACTAGAAAACCGGAAGTGGCGCTGTAGTTCAAGTGGTAGAGTGTTCGCCTTGAGCTGAAGAGCTGAGGGACAGCACCCAAGCCCAGAGTTCAAGCCCCATGACAGACAAAACAAAAGGTGGGGGGGAAGTACTGGGAGTGTGGCTTAAGTGGTAGAGCACTGAGCACAAGGTCCTGAGTATTGCCAAGGGAAGCAGTGTGGAGGGTGACCTGCTGACACAGGAAGCCTCTCTCCCTGCCACAGCCCTGCTGGACATGACCATACTCCTCTTGCCATTATAGTTCTGGGAAGCAGTTCGTGCGCTACATAAACATGTTGATAAACGATACGACGTTTTTGCTCGATGAAAGTCTGGAGTCGCTGAAGCGGATCCATGAAGTGCAAGAAGAGATGAAGAACAAAGAGCAGTGGGACCAGCTGCCTCGGGTGAGAACGGGCCCAGTGCTCCCACAGCTTTGTCAGGAATCAGCCACCGGGGGACTGACTTACTAAGGGCTTCGAGATTCTAACCCAGCCTTGGGATAGGAAAAAGCTTAAAAAAAAAAAAGTTAGGTGAAACTTAAGAATTGGGGCTGGGAGTGTGGCTCAGTGATAAAGTGCTTGACTAGCATGTATGAGGTTTCCAGAGGAAAAAAGTTCCATTGAGCTTGCAGAGGTTATTTTATTTTGTGCCTCAGTATCAGCACAAAAATAAAAAATGGGAAAAAAAATGAGATGACAACTTTTTTAAATGCATCATTCTCTGCATTTTTAGTTTAAGAAGCTTTTTTATAGAAGAGCTTTCATTGTCTAAATATATTAAGATTTGTAGCAGGATGCAATAGCTCATGCCTATTCCTATAATCCTGTTTATTCAAGTAGTAGAGAATGGGAACATTGAGGTTCAAGGCAAGATCCTATCTCATTTAAAAAAAGTGTGTGTGTGTGTGTGTGTGTGTGTGTGTGTGTGTGTGTGTGTGTGTGTGTGATGGAAGATTAAAGTTAAAGGCTGACCCCAGGCAAATCATTTATTGGAAAAAAACAAGTAAAACAGAAAAGGGCGGGGGCATAACTTAAGTGGTAGAGCAATTACACAAGACTCGGTTCAAATTTCAGTAGTGTGTGTGTGTGTGTGTGTGTGTGTGTGTGTGAGAGAGAGAGAGAGAGAGAGAGAGAGAGAGAGAGAGAGAGAAATGTGGAAGTAAGTAGGAAATCTCTAGACTTGCCTCTACTGGTCAAGAATTTGGTGTGCTTATGTGGTCTTCACATCCTTGTCTAGCCAAAATGCTCAAGCTATAATAAGCTTAATCCTTAGCAGGGGCGTTGCCCCAGGTCCATGTGTATTGGAGTTCCCTTCCCTCCACGCTCTCATGCATCCTGGACCCCTCTGATTGTGCTGAGATAATGTGACAGTCTTTTGGAGGGGAGGGAAATCTGTGCTGATACCCACTGCCCTCATGTTCATTTCTAAGATACAGTACAAAATCCTTCAGCTCCCCATCTTCCTTAGCATAGAGTCAACCCCCCAGCTCCCAGATGTATCTCTAAGAGAACTTCTGTGGCTCACCTCCATCACAGGCAGCAGGTAGTAACTACCAATCTGAACCAGACTGTGGACTGCTGAAACCATGCTAGAACATCAGAAGGTGTAGCTGAAAGAGCCCAGCTCTGGTCCCTAAGGTGATCTAGGTTTGAGAACTGACACTGCCTCACTCAGAGTTCTGTAACCAGAAAACATCTGCCTTGCAAGAACGCAGAGAGGACAGAACATATTTAGCTAGGATTTATCCAGATGCTCAGTGTGTACACTCCTATTCCTCATAGGTCCTGTCCTAGTCCTGCTTCATGGCTAGCCTTCCCACCTTCCTCCTACCTCAGTAGAAACTTAGCTAAGACCCACTAATCCTTCAGGGGCTGGATACCAGGTCTGTAACACATTCTCTTGGACAGAGTGCTTGATAAGTATTTGTTTATGAGACAACAGATACTATTCATGTTTTTTTCATCAGTGGATATACAGAGATACCTAGTCCCTAACAGTTGCTATTTCAGAAATCACTCTCCTGTGACTTCACAGTGGCTTGCTGCCTCCCGCCTCCCTGGCTCTTCTTGCGAATCTTCCCAGCCTCCCAGTGCTGGCCGACTCTGGCTCAGCCCTCAGGTTTCTCTTTCTCCCTCTCCCCAGGTTAGTGTTTCTCAGGGTGGGATGCTGGGAGGGATTTCAGACATAGAGGAGCTTTGCTGTAGTAAGTAGCAAACTCTTCACAACTAGAAACTGCCCTACGTTGTAGGACTCTTAACATCTCTGGCTTCTGCTCATTACATACCCGTGACATCCCCACCCCAATTACAAAATCATAAAGCACTCCCACTCTTAACCCAGTGCCTCCAGCTGGAAAGCCCTGCCAGGGGACTTCATCTATTCCAAAGCGTTAAATACCAGATCTCCAAATATACCTCTCCACCTTTGATATGCCCTGTCACTACCTGGGACCCAGTATCAGCTTGCCTGCTCTGGGGGAGTCTAGTATGTATCTCAGACTTAACTTGTGCCAGACTGAACCTGTGATGTCCTTGGAATCCCCTCAATAAATGTCAGCTTCACTCTACCATTTGCCAGTTAATCAGCAAAAATTTAGAACTGAAGATGTGGTTCAAAGAATAGAACATTGGCTGTAAACACAAAAGCTGAGCAAGAGCTTTAGGCCCCGAGATCAAGCCCCATACTAGCACAAGTGTCAAAGTACTTGCCTATGATGCACAAGGCCCTGGGTTATACCCTCAACACTGCTTAAAGACAGAGAGAGAGAGAGAGAGAGAGAGAGAGAGAGAGAGAGAGAAAAGTGTAGAGATAAATAGAAACAGGCAGGCAGGAAGATCTGAGTCTTTACTCTCTGACCTTTTCCTACACCTCCAGGACCACAGTTGAGTCTTCCCTTATTACTGCAGTAGCCCACTCTCCAGCTCTCAGCCTCTGCCCTTGCCTGTGTCCACAGCCGAGATCCGCTGTTAAAATCTCAGCCTTCTCAGTACCACTCTGCTCAGAGTCCTCTGGGCTTCCCTTCAACACACTCAGTTCCTGCGTGCAGAGTGTGGCCTTCAGTGTTTGCAATACCAAGCTGGGTGCTGGTGGCTCATGCCTGTAATCCTAGCTACTCAGAAGGCTGAGATCTGAGGATGGTGGTTCAAACCCAATCTGGGGAGGAAAATCCATGAGACTTTTATCTCCAATAGACCACCAGAAAACTGGAAGTGGCACTGTGGCTTAAGTGGTAGAACACTAGCCTTGAGCTGAAGAGCTGAGGGACAGCACCCGGGCAAAGAGTTCAAGCCCCATAACCAACAAAAAAAACAGAGTTTGCAATACCTTTCTATATTCAGCTCCTGATACGCTTCTGCTCACTCTACCCCCTACACCAGCCTCTCTGCCTGCCCTCATGCTGGTTCCACAGAGGTTTGCTGATCCCTTCCTTTATTCTCCTAGATATCACCCCCACAGAGAAGCCTTCCCTGACCAGTTTCCACAGCAGCATCCTCTGTTTCTCTCTACTTTCTCGTCTCCACTTTTTTTCTCTTTACCCTGCTTCATTCTTTGCTGTCACTGTCAGACTTATTAGATGTGTTTCTTGGGATGGTGGTGACTCAACAAAGTTTCACTAAGCTCCAGCAGGGTATGGAGCTGCCCTGGGCCTGTACTGTGCTCTGCATTAGTACCTGAAGAACATCTGGTCTGGGGGAACTTACGTATTCTAGGCAGGAATGATATGACCCGGCCCCACACTGGGCTTCTCCTGCGTGCAGCCTTTCTTTCACTAAGCTCATTCTTTTTTTTCTTTTTTTTTTGTGGGGGGGGGTCCGGTCGTGGGGCCTGAACTCTGGGCCTGGGCACTGTCCCTCAACGCTTCAGCTCAAGGCTAGTACTCTACCACTTAAGCCACAGTGCCACTTCCGGCTTTTTTTTTTCTGCTTATATGGTGCTGAGGAATTGAACTCAGTGCCTCATGTATGCAAGGCAAGCGCTCTACCACTGAGCCACCTTCCCAGCCCCTCATTAGGCTCATTCTTGACCAGGGAGCAGTGGGCAGGGCCCCCAGCCTCCCTGCAGAAGCTCCACCAGACCTCGGCGAAGCTCTGACCTAGCAGACACTCACTCAGTTCTTTGTCCCTCTAGGCAGATGGAAACATTTAAGTAGACACTGGGTGCCGGGTGCCAGACAGGATGGACAGGCCTGTACTGCATCATGTATCTTTTTTTTGGTCGGCCGTGGGGCTTGAACTCTGGGCCTGGGTGCTGTCCCTCAGCTCTTCAGCTCAAGGCGAGCGCTCTACCACTTGAGCTATAGCGCCACTTCCGGTTTTCTGGTAGTTTATTGGAGATAGGAGTCTCATGGTCTCTCCTGCCCGGGCTGGCTTTGAACCGCGATCCTCAGATCTCAGCCTCCTGAGTAGCTAGGATTACAGGCATGAGCCACCAGCGCCCAGCTTATCATGTATCTTTATACAGCAGTGACTAAGCAAAAGTTCTTATTAAGGGAAACAGACTTGGTGGATATAGCACTAATGTGTTCTAGGTCCAATGTTAGAACCACTGAATTCATTCTCCATGGAAATTGACTCTGAATACTTTACCTTGGAAAGCTTAAGGCTCACTAAAGTTCAATAGTACGTCAGGGCTGGGGCAGCTCAGCAGTAGAGTATGTGCTTAGTACACACAAAGCCTTGGGGTCAATCCCCACCATGCACACATGCACGCACACATGCACGCACACCCACACATAATGCCAAGGCTATGTGACCCAAAGTCCTAAAGAGTTGTAGTGTTAGAAGAAATGAACTTATGCTTTCTGCACCCTTTGCTGGAGGTTCTTATCTCATTCTCCGAGCATGTTGGCTTCCTCCCACTTCTCCAGTTAGGAGCTGACTGTGTTTTTCCTTTGCACTTGGTGCTTTGGTGGGCTGATGACTGACACTGAGGTTTATTTGGCATCTGTTTCCTAGGATCAGCAGCAGGCCCGGCAGTCTCAGCTTGCTCAGGATGAGCGCGTTTCACGCTCTTACCTCGCGTTGGCAACAGAAACCGTGGATATGTTCCACATCCTCACGAAGCAGGTCCAGAAGCCATTCCTCAGACCAGTGAGTAGAAACTGAGGGAGTATTTGTTTTGTCTGTCAGATGCTACAATCAGGCTCCAGCACTTAAAATGTAATACAATTATTGAAACCCTGGAAATTTGGACCTCACAATCAACAATTAGTGAAATTCTGTTACTAATTTTGTTCCCAGTTTTGCTCATTAATACACATATAACTCTGCTGATAGACTTGGAATGAAGATTCTAATGTTTGCACATGTCTACACGTGCTCACATCCAAGATGACTTTATTATTCTTTCTGCTGAGACAGTACATTGGATTATTGATGTTGATGTTGTGGCACATTTTTATCATTATTGATTCCTATATTTTATTTAGAAGAAAAGTACAAAGCACCATAAATTAGAACTTGGCATACATTTAGTAGGACGATTGATGACATGTAAGATGTTTGGTTCTCTTAGAAGTAGCTTTGCACATAGAAGCAGCCAAAGGCTAATGAGAAGCCACAATTAGAATTTATGAAAGATCAGAGTCAGCCAAAATGTTTGACTTTGACTTTATTAATAAGACCTGGGTCCTATTTCTGAACTTGAAATTGAAAAATATAATTGCAGGTCTGTTTCTTCTTGACTGTCTCCACTATGTAGTATGCCTTTGTGGAGAAAAGTTGCCTTTACAGTGGATATAATTTTCCTGTGTATTCCCTCTGGTTTTTCTATTTACCTGTAGATCTGTCATGTCTTCCCAGCACAAGCATTATCACTCGGGGTGTGTGTAGCTCAAGATATGCTTCCCTCCTTCTCTCTCTCCCCCCATTTTCATCTCCTGTCTTTATAAATGGATTTCAGTGCAAGAGCAATGGAATTTGAGACAAAACAACTCATGGTTAAGATTCCTGCTTCCCTTGGCTGGGAAGGTAGCTCAGTGATAGAGCGCTTGCTTTGCATGCATGAGGCCCTGGGTTCAATTCCTCAGCACCACATAAATAGGAAAAGCTGTGGCTCAAGTGGTAGAGCACTAGCTTCGAGCTGAAGAGCTTAGGGACAGAGCCCAGGCCCAGAGTTCAAGCCCCACAACAGACCAAAAAAAAAAAAAAAAGATTTCTGCTTCCCTTACAGATTTACTTCTTTTTCTTTTTTTCCTTCTGTCATGAGGCCCTTGAACTCAGGGCCTACGTGCTATCCCTGAGCTCTTTTGCTCAAGCTAGCATTCCACCACTTTGAACCAAAGCTCCGCTTTTTTTTTTTTTTTTTTTTTGGTTTTTGGATTTGTCGGTCATGGGTCCTGAACATTGGGCCTGGGCACTGTCCCTCAGCTCTTCAGCTCAAGGCTAGCACCCTACTACTTGAGCCACAGCGCCACTTCTGGCTTTTTCTGCTTATGTGGTACTGAGGAATTGAACCCAGGGCCTCATGCATGCGAGGCAAGCACTCCACCACTGAGCCACCTTCCCAGCCCCTAAATTAGCTCCACTTTTTGAGTGGTTAATTTGAGATAAGAGTCTCACCGGGCTTTTCTGCCTGAGCTGGCTCTGAACCAATCCTCAGATCTCAGCCTCCAGAGTAGCTAGGATTATAAATGCGAGCCAAGGGCTGGGAAGGTGGCTCAGTGGTAGAGCACTTGCCTTGCATGCATGAGGCCCTGGGTTCGATTCCTCAGCACCACGTAAGCAAAAAGAAAAAAGCCGGAAGTGGCGCTGGGGCTTATGTGGTAGAGCGCTAGCCTTGAGCTGAAGAGCTGAGGGACAGCGCCCAGGCCCAGAGTTCAGGTCCCACGACTGGACCCCAAAAAAAAAAAAAAAGTGTGAGCCACTAGCACTGCCTGGCACAGATTTATTTCTATAAAGACCAAATAGTGAGTCATTTAAAGATGTTCTGAGGACTTTGGGCATGGCTCAAGTGTGATGCCCTCCGTTCAATCTCAAGTTCCATATACATACATACATGTATACACACATCATATATACAAATGAAAAAGTATTATTGCCATGCTCTTGCAGCCTGAGAGCAGTCACAGCCAGTATGTGAATAAACCTGGCTATGTTCTGATAAAACTATTTTTTTTTTTTTTTGGGTCCGGTCGTGGGGCCTGAACTCTGGGCCTGGGCACTGTCCCTCAGCTCTTCAGCTCAAGGCTAGTGCTCTACCACTTGAGCCACAGCGCCACTTCCGGCTTTTTTCTTTTTGCTTATGTGGTGCTGAGGAATCGAACCCAGGGCCTTGAGCATGCCAGGCAAGCGCTCTACCACTGAGCCACCTTCCCAGCCCCAAAACTATTTATAAAAGAGGCATGGTTGCCAGGTGCCAGTGGCTCTCACCTGTAATCCTAGCTACTCAGGAGGCTTAGATCTGAGATCATGATTCGAAGCCAACCCAGGCAGAAAATTCTCCATGAGACTTTTATCTCTAATTAACCACTCAAAAACCAGAAGTGGCACATGGCTCAAAGTGGTAGAATGCCAACCTTGAGCAAAAATGCTTAGGGACAGTGCTCAGGCCCTGATTTCAAGCCCCATGGCCAGTAACAACAACAACAAAGAAGCCAGAAGCAGGACTGTGGCTCAAGTGGTAGTGCCAGCCTTGAGCAAAAAAGCTAAACAGTTGTGCCCCTGCCCTGAGTTTATGCTTCAGTAATGGCACACACAAAAAAACAGAAAAGAAAAAAGAAGCGTGGCTATATTCCAGTAAAATTTTACTTCCAAAATGGAGACATCAGATAAATTGGCCAGTAGATAGTATTTTGCCAACCCCTGCTCTAAACCACATTTTATTTTATATACAGTGACTCTGGTGGCAGTGCCGTTTGGATACTAGAAGGTAGGAAGCTATAGTATATAAAGCCTATTTTTAGTAAGAATTTCTCCATTTTGTAAAGAAAGTTAATTTCCTTCAAGGCCTCTCACAAATCTGCTCCATGGTTATGGATGGCCTATGGCTCTGTTCTTTTACCCCCAGACTCAAGTCTGCATCTGATATGATGCTTCCATTGCCTTTGCTTCCTTTACCCTTTTGCTCCTTTATGGCTAGCCCAAAACTGTACAGAACTGTCCTACTTTAAAGAAAAATGTCTAGATGCCCTCTTATTTATAGCTGCTCAACAACAACTCAGGAGTGCTTTGTGCAAAAGCATCGTCTTGAAAGGTTGAATATGGAGCAAAGTTGTGTAAACAGGCATATTGCACAGGAGCCTTGTTCAGACCCTTTTCTAATCTGTGCCAGGTTTTCCTCTGGATATAAGAGCAAGATCTGCCTGACCACAGTGCATACTGTCTCCTTGTGGGCTTATCTCCTTTTCTGATGGTTGGATATGGGTTCACTTTGTCTCATTGGCTATATTTAAAACTATTGAAGACAAATTTTCTATTTTGTATTTCTTGTGTCTGATAAGTAAATAAGATCGGCACATGTTTAACTGTCAGGGACTTTTGAAATTTATGAAAAACATCACATGAAGTGATGCCTGGAAAAGCAGACCTCCCAACCTCTTTCATGTTTCTCGATGGTTCTGAAGTGGTACTTCTGTAATTAAAAGCATGGACTTTTTAAAAAACCTTTTGTTGGTGTCTCTCAGTCTGCCATTTCCCTGTACCATTGCATTAAGTATTGGAATTTCCAGATGAGACAAGGGACGTTGGCTATGATGCTGGTCCTTTCCTGTATGGGAGTCTTTGAGGACGAAACCAGCTGCTCCTCCTCTGAGCCAGGAGTTTGGGGTCCTCAGTGTTCATCTCACAGCATGAATGGTCCTGTCATCCTGTGACTTCCAGGAACTTGGACCCCGATTGGCTGCGATGCTGAACTTTAATCTACAGCAGCTCTGTGGCCCCAAGTGTCGTGACTTGAAGGTGGAGAACCCAGAGAAGTATGGCTTTGAACCCAAGAAGCTGTTGGACCAACTGACAGATATTTACCTGCAGCTGGACTGTGCTCGGTTTGCGAAGGCCATTGCCGACGACCAGGTCAGTGCCTTCTGAGAACTGGGCACTCTGGTGATGAACTCCTCTGCACGCTCTTACAGAGACAACATCCACCCTGAATTTCCCCACCTGATAGGAGGGAAGTGATACTTCTCAAATTGTGGTTTGAGAAGCTTCTAGTATGTAAATGGAAGTATTGCCCACAGTGGTAAAAGTGGAGATGAATTGGTTTGTTTTTTTGAGCAGTAAAGAGCAGACCTGATGTTTCCTAGTTGAGTTCTGACCCCACCTTGCTAAACTTGTGCTTGCTCCTGGTCTTCTGTGCTGCATCAGCTTCAGCATAGTGGTGGCCCATGTTTATTACTTGGTATGCCACATTTAACTTCTTTTTATGTTTTCACTCATTAAATCCTCACAGAAATACATAATGTGCTCTCTGCTGTACTTCTCATTTTTAAAATGAGGAAACTGAGGCACAGAGGTTAAATAGCCTACTTAAACTCCCAAAGTCAGTGGGATGGGGCAGGACTTTTTACATCTGACCCTGCACTACATTCTCACCCTCTCCTCACCTTTAAATGCCCAGAGGTGCCATGCATGTGTCTGTGGCTCCACCTTTACTCACGTGATTGGTCCACAAATTGCCATCAGTAGGCATTCTAGAATCTTCTTTACCCATATCTCACCCAAAGAGAAAATAGTAAAATGGATATATCCAGTGGGGTTTTATTTACTCTTTTGTTTTTGACAGGTTTTTCTATATAGACCAAGCTGACCTTAAGCTTGAAATTACCTATCTCAGCCTCCTGATATCTTTTTTTTTTTTTTTTAATTTTATTTTATTTTATTTGAGAACATACTGTACAGAGGGGTTACAATTACATGGGCAGGATAATGTATACATTTCTTACCAAGCATTGCAGCCTCCTCCTTTGTTTACCCTTCACCTCCCTTCCCAGCCTCCCCCCTCCCCCACCCAATCCTACCCCCCCTCCCCCCCCAGCCTCCTGATAGCTTAAGATTATGGTAGTGATGGTGCTGGAGTTTGAACCTAAGACCTCAACATTTGCTGGGCTGGTGCTCTACCACTTGAGCCACACCTCCATACTTATAATGGCTTTTTCATACAAGCAAAGGAAGCAGTCATAGCAAAGTATCCACAATGAAGGAAAAGAACATATCTAAAGCAGTTTTTCCATAAAATATGGTTGTAAAGGAGAGGTTAAGAAACTGTAGTCATTTGGGGGAGATGTTAAAAAATGTACTGTTTTTCTAGCTCACAACTGTGTAATAGTGTACATATATATGTGTGTATATATATATATATATATATATATATATATATATATACACATATATGTATATATAAATTTGAAGGTAAGTGGTAGTCTATAGTGAGAGAAGGAAAATTGGAAACACCCATCAAGGTGGGTGTACAAGGTAGATTCTTACACAGACCAACATTGTAGCTGGGTGTCTCCTGCCTGGATGTGAATGACACAGCCCGTGGGCTCCTCATCTCTACTGCTGAGAGACTGGAAGCAGTCTTCAACGTACTCCTTCTTCTCCAGTAGGTCTTGTTGTGCCTACCACATCACACAGATTTCTCCTAGCCAGATGCATTATGTGATGAGGATGCCTGGGCACACTTTTGAGCCAGTGGGACCAAAGAGAATTCTGGGAGATTCCCACACTGCTAATGATCAGTCTGTGGGTGGTGGGGGTGGGGTGGCCTGGCCTGTACAGGAACCTCCATGAGTCACAGACACACTCTTCCAGTGACACATGGGAAACAGAACATATGGGGGGAGGGGGGGAGATGCAGTGCTGAAGACCCCAAACTCAGGTTCTTGTACTTAAAAGGTAAACTCGGGCTGGGAAGGTGGCTCAGTGGTAGAGTGCTTGCTTCGCATGCATGAGGCACTGGGTTCGATTCTTCAGTACCACATAAACATAAAAAGCCAGAAGTGGTGCTGTGGTTCAAGTGGTAGAGCGCTAGCCTTGAGCTGAAGAGCTGAGGGACAGTGCCCAGGCCCAGAGTTCAGGCCCCATGACCAACAAAAAACAAAAAGAATCTCATGGACTTTCCTGCCCTGGGCTGGCTTCCAACAGCAATCCTCACATCTTAGCCTACTGAGTAGCTAGGAATACAGTGTAAACCACTGGTGCCTGGCTCTTCCTAGATGTTAATTTTGTTTTAAAAATCAATGGAGCCAGGCACTGGTGGCTCACGCCTGTAGTCCTAGCTACTCAGGAGGCTGAGATCTGAGGATCACGGTTCAAAGCCAGCCAGGGCAGGAGAGACCATGAGACTCCTATCTCCAGTAAACCACCAGAAAACCAGAAGTGGCACTGTAGCTTAAGTGGTAGAGTGCTTGCCTTGAGCTGAACTGCTGAGGGACAGCGCCCAGGCCCAGAGTTCAAGCCCCACGACCGACCAAAAAAAAAATATATCAATGGAAAAGCTGTAGTTATACAGTGGACACTCATATCATGTCCTTCATTAGGTTCACTGGCTAATTCTTTGCCAGATATACTGCTGTCTCTGTCACACACACACACCCGCACACACACACATGTGATCACACACAGGCACATATGTGCACATTTTTCCTGAATCATTTCAGTTGCAAATATGGAGACTCCTAAATACTTGAGCCTGTGTCTCCTAAGAACCAGTACACTTCCCAGTATAACCATATAATCACACCCAGCACATAAAGCACTGATACATAGACTCATCCCAAGTTTGTCACTATGATATTTTCCCTCACCACCCAGTACTGTCTTTGGCTTCCCTCTACCACCCTGGGCCACATCCAGGACTTCATTGTATCTACTTACTTGACCGTGTGCCTAATATTCCGATATCTGATTAGAAGTAATTGGACTCTGACTTCCTGTCCTGAAGGCAGATTTTCATACTAATTTTAGTTCACCTGGATGTTGTCTCTCTGTTTCTGAGCCATCTGATAAGATGCAGGCAAAGCATCCTATGGCCTTGGGCTCCTCTCATCAATAAAATGGGAATCATTCCTACCAGTCAGGCTTGTGAGGGCTAAAATTAAACAAGACAATGTGCTGAGCTTACTGCCTCTATGTGTGGCATTTAGAAAATGCCACAGCCACAATAATAATTATCATTGTTCTGCAACATCACCTGGCTTCACCTAGCAGGAAGGAGCTGGGATCAGGTTTGAAACTAGGATTTCATCCTCAAGACAAATTCCAATCCTGGGCTTATGCTCTAAGAATGGAGCTGTGCCCTGCCAACTGCCTGATTCGCTGGTACTGTCGTCAGGAGGTCTGTGTGGCACACACTCACTGTCATTCAGAATGCCAGACTTTTTTGCTCAAGGTTTTCACTCCACCACTTGAGCCATAATCCCAACCAAAATTAACTGTTTAAAGCATACTGTTCAGTGGCATGTAGGGCATACAGAATTGTGCCCTCCTGTTTCTGGGCTGCAGAGTTGAGTTCATCCTCCCAAAAGAAAAATCATGCCCACTGAGCAGCCTTTGTCCACATCCCCTAGCTACTATAGCCTGATGTCTCTGTCATTTTACCTGTTTATATTTGACATAAATGGAGCTTTGTAATGTATAACCTTTTCTGTGTCTGGCTTCCTTCATTTAATAATATTTTTGAAGAGCTAAGGGTAGAATACCTGCCTATACGCATGAGGCCCTAGGTTTGACTCCTACTACCCTGGAAGTAAATAAAGTAATATTTGGAGGTTCATCAGATTGTAGAGTTTTTCAGCCCTTCATTCTTTTGTATGCTTGGATTCAACTTCATTCTGTGGCTATGTAAGTTGTTTATTCACTCATCCATAGGTGATCATTTGGGTTGTTTACACCTTTTAGCTGTTACGGATAATGCTGCTATAAACAATTACGTAAAAGTACTTGACATGGGCAACTGTTTTCAGTTGTTTGAGTATATGCTCAGAAGTAGAATTGCTGGGTCATATGGTAATCCTGTGTTAAAATTTTTGAGGGGGCCACACCATTTTCCACAGCTGCCACACCATTTGACACCCCTATGCACATCCAAATGGACAAGGGCTCACATTTCTCCACATATTAACACTTGTTAATATCAGCTAACAAATTTGTTTCCTAAAGAGCCATCCTGGTGGCAGTGAAGTGGTATTTCATAGTGGTTTGACTTGCATTTCCTTAATGAGAAATACTGTTAAACATTTTTTTCGTGTGTTTTCTGGCCATTCACATATTTTTTGGAAGAAATATCTGCTCAAGTTCTTTGCTTATTTTTAGTTGAATGTATGTTTATATGTTCTTGTTAGGTTGGAAGAGTTCTTTATATATTGTAGATACTTTGCTCTTATTTGGCTATGTTGAATAGATATATTCATGTGAATTTGGTGTTTGCTCTGAAAGGTCCTTAAAGCCAGAAACAGCACCTGTGCTGCTCTGGCACCTGCCACACACACCCAGTCTGAGCGGGTGTGGATGCTGCACTTCTGTTGCTCTCTGACGTTAAATGCCAGGTCCCCTTATTGGAAGTACCCTGTGACTCCTCCATGCATACCACACTGCTGGAGTTTTGTCATCATTCACCTTCAAGCAGGCCCCAGTCTGGTGGTTGAACTTATCATCCTTTGGGAAGTTGAGTAGGTGATGTTTTGTGATGGTCACAGATGGGCCACACAGCTGCTTGTCCAAAGAGGTGCACTCCTCCCTAGCTTCAATAGCAGCACTTCCTCTCCTTCATTAGTTCCCTGACATGTATCCCCTTCTTGTTTTTACTGTAATATTTCAGTCATCTCTCCTTTGGTGTCTTACTTGGATCATAGGGAATTAACACTGAATAAATAATTTGTTGAGCAAGGCCCTAGTGGCTCATGCTATTCCTAGCTATTCACAAGGATGATAGTGGAAAGATTGTGGTTCAAGACCAACCAGACCTATCTGACAAATTACCACAAAAAAGCAGGACTGGAAGCATGACTCAAGTGGTAGAATATCAGCAGAGCAAGTAATCACTGCAAGGCTTTGAGTATAACTACCAAGAAAAAAAAAAGGATTTGATGAATTAATATAGTAATTTAGCTGTAGACAACTATAATCTGAACTTTTTGGGGATTCCAAAATTGCCTCTTAGGATTATTGCCAGGCCCAGCCACCCTGCTACCACTTTGCTTGCTGCCTTGTCCTCTCAGCTGCATGGCTGGTAAGAGGAGAGGAGTGTACAGACAGAGCAGCCATGTATCTTTTTTTTTTTTTTTTTGGGTCCGGTTGTGGGGCCTGAACTCTGGGCCTGGATGCTGTCCCTCGGCTCTTCAGCTCAAGGCTAGCACTCTACCACTTGAGCCATAGCGCCACTTCCGGCTTTTTTTCTTTATGTGGTGCTGAGGAATCGAACCCAGGGCCTCAGGCAAGCAAGGCAAGCACTCTACCACTAAGCCAACTTCCCAGCCCCCGCAGCCATGTATCTTATTTAGAAACTGAAATATAAAACAAGAAAGAAGAAAGGGTGTGGAATTTTAATCCAGTGCTCCAGAAGACAGTGACTATTACTAGGTGCATTCATGCCGTATGTTGATGTGAACCCACAGGGAAAGAAACCACAGGACACTGCTCAGATGTCTAAGCTCTCAGGTGATAGTCGTGCCGTGCAGCCCTACAGTCAGCTGCACTCAGCAGCTCCAAAAGCTGGACAGCTCTTCTCTGGTGGGAGCGCATGCTCTGGTTCTTACTGTCTTACAAGTCAGGGAAAGATTACATCATTCCTTCACTACATTTTTGTCACAAAATCAACCAGTGGCCACTGTTTTGTCTTAAGTACAAATGTAATGACTTTTCTGGGAGGTAAGTCACCATGCCTACTTTACATGTGAGAAATGAACTTAGGAAGTTGGGTGCTGATGGCTCATGCCTGTATTCCTAGCTACTCAGGAAGCTAAGATCTGAGGATCACAGTTCAAAGCCAGACCAGGTAGGAAAGTCTGTATGACTCTTTAGGCATGAATTCAGACTCTCGGCACTGTCCAAAGGCTAGCACTCTACCACTTTGAACCATAGCTCCACTTCTGGTTTTCTGGTGGTTAAATTGGAGATAAGGCTCTCACAGACTTTCCTGCCAGGGCTGGCTTTGAATGGTGATCCTCAGATCTCAGCCTCAGGAGTGGCAAGGATTATAGGCTTGAGCCACCAGCAGCCAGCTGTGAGACGCTTATCATTAATTAACCGGAAGTAGCATTATGGCTCAAAGTGGTAGAGCTCTATTCTTAAGCAAAAGCAGCTCAGGGACAGCACCTACGAGTCCCATGACTGACAAAATAAAAATAAAAAAGAAACAAAGAAATGAACTTAGGAAAGTTAGGGACTTGCCAACATCACACAGCTGGAAAGTGATGTCCAGGTATGCCTGGGTACATGGTGGGCACTACTAGTTCTCTATTCTTCCCTGCTTCCAGGCCCTTTCACCTATGGACTGGGGTGGCTCAAAGCCAGTGGGGGACCAGACATCTGATATTGTTACACTAATGATCTTCAAGAATTGATAGTAAATAGGAGGAAGCTCCTTCTAGTATGGACAATGTTGTGTTGTTTTTCCCATGTTTACTTGCATGAACAAGAGCTACAATTTCTGTCTCATCATGGGCTGCTAGGGTACAGTGCTTTGCAATACTAAAATGGATTAGATTTCCTTTGTGCCCACTTCAGATTTTCAAAAATCCCCATTTGCCTTACTCCTGCAGCTGTCCCCCTAGATGACAACTTTACACAGTTTGCCACATTGTACCAATCTTGGTACATGTATAAGCATAAAGTACGTCCTTTTATGTGGCTGCAGATACATAGAGAAAGAGTGGTGAGTAGCTAGTATCTAATCATGTGTAGTTGAAAGACCTCAGATCATATTTTGGATATTTTCTGCAACTTTTTTCACCTAAGATCTCATGTTACCTTTCCTCATTTGCAGAGATCCTACAGCAAGGAACTGTTTGAAGAAGTAATTTCCAAGATGCGGAAGGCAGGGATTAAATCCACAATAGCAATAGAGAAGTTTAAGCTTCTTGCCGAGAAAGTAGAGGAGATAGTGGCCAAGAACGCCCGGGCAGAAATCGACTACAGTGATGCTCCGGATGAGTTTAGAGGCAAGTGGCCCAGCTCATGCTCACATCTTTGAGTTAACCTGGAATTGTCTGCTTTTCCTTCTTTGATGGCATCCTTAGTTGCTTTTTTTTTTTTTTTTCTTTTTGGTCAGTCATGGAACTTGAACTTAGGGTCTGGATGCTGTCCCTGAACTCTTTTTGCTCAAGGCAATCACTCTAACAGTTTGAGCCACTGTACCACTTCCATTTTTCTGGTGGTTAATTGGAGATAAAGGGTCTCAAAGACTTTCCTGCCACAGCTGGCTCTGAACTGTGATCCTCAGATCTCAGCCTTCTGAGTAGCTAGGATTACAGGCGTGAGCCACTAGCACCAGCCTTAGTTGCTTCTTGAGAAGAAGAACCTTCTTAGCCCAATTTCAAACTAGATTACCCTACAGATTTTAAAGATGATTTTGCCTTTAGGGATTTGCCCTTTCAGAGAATCCTGAGACCCTAAAGAAGGGTCCTGGCTGCTGGGTGCTCCTGTGTCTTTTCTCTGTTGCTCCTTGCAGCACTTGTGACACAGGGGAACGTTCCCTCTGCAGAAGACAGAGTGCGTGTCCTTATCTCACACTGGTGTCCTTCTCAACTTGGGGACTTGGCAGGCCATTTTGCTAGCTGCTCTTTTGGATGTGGTTTTCGTTGGTAGGGGGCTTGGCTTTGCTCTCTGTATCACATTCAGCCTCTATTGTCAAGTCCCTTTGCTTTGTCTCTGCAGACCCTCTGATGGACACCCTGATGACTGACCCCGTGCGGCTGCCCTCTGGCACCATCATGGACCGCTCCATCATCCTGCGGCACCTGCTGAACTCTCCCACTGACCCCTTCAACCGCCAGACACTGACAGAGAGCATGCTGGAACCAGGTAGGGCGGGCATGACTGAGCAGCAGTGCCAACCTCAGTGCAGCCAGAGTCCTGTAACGAGTGATTAGCCAAGCCCTGCATTGGATCCTAGCAAGTCAGGAAGCTGAGATCTGAGGATTGTGGTTTGAAACCAACCCAGGGAGAGAAAACCACGACTCTTTCCTCCAATTAACCAGCAAAAAAGCTGCAAGTGAGGTGTGGCTCAAGTGGTAAAGTACTGAGGCAAAAAAAGGCAAAAGCAAGAGTGTGAGATGCTGAGTTCAAACCTCAGTACTGACCCAAAAAAAAAGAAATTAGCCAAGGAAGGGAAACCTGTCAACTGCAGAGAACTACCCCAGTATGGGTTCTTCCTATGGAAGACATGCCGGCCCTCTGCTCTTTTTTTGCCATCAGTCTAGCACTTCTCTTTCATGAGACTGAGGGAAAGAAAGGCCTTTTCTTCCACTTTCACAGAGCTATTGCTGAAGAGCCCTCCTGTCTGGGGCATTAATTCCCTTTCCTTTTTCTCTCAGTGCCAGAACTGAAAGAACAGATCCAGGCATGGATGAGAGAGAAGCAGAGCAGCGATCACTAAGCCATCCCTCGCCACTGCTTCTGGAAGCAAGGCCAGCAGGGCAGATACAGGCAGCGTCTGCAGTGAAGCTGCTGCTCAAGCCTTGGCAACCACACATTGCCAGACCCAGAGTGACCAAACAGCAGAGATCTGAAGGCACATGGAGAGACGAGCCCGACTCCTGTACATATATTTAAGTGACAAACACAGTGAAAAGCTTGGGGACGGGTTAGGATTGCCTGTGTAATAAAGCACGTCCTTCACACGTCACAATGGAAGTCTTAGTGATGAGAAGTGGGCGGGGCAGCTTCCCCTTCATCTTTTGTTTTTGTTTTGTTTTGTTTTTGTTTTTAAATCCAGTATCCATTGATTTGATTGTGATTAGAGAACTTGGACCTTTTGCTGCTAAAGAATCTCCACCCTCCCCCCCCCCCTCCTTGCCCGACTTGCACTGCTCTGGATTTTTTAAAGAGAAGCAAAAACAAAAACAAACTCCTTTCCCTGGCCCTCCAAACCATATATTCTGTGAGATAACTGTGCCTGCAACAAAGTGTTAATCCTGGGATCGTATTTTTATATCATATTCACATATTTGTTTTTTTAATTGGTGTTAGATGACATGATTAATAAAAAAGGCAAGATATTTTCAGAATTTGAATTTCAGTTTTTTTTTTCTTTTAAAATGTCCCTTTAAAATTTTTTTATTGTAAAAAAAAAAAAAAAATGAAGAGAATCCTGTTGCTCTGGTCCTTCTAACAAGCCCTGAATTAGGAATCCAAGCGACAGGTGCAGCCATGGAGTGGCTTCAGTATCAGGACTTGTGTGACTTGGGGTTGGGGAGGGTGAGGGTTGGGTTTTTTAATGCTATGTGACAGTTCTAAACCTTTACCATTCTCCTCTGAGGGTAAATCAATTCCTCAACCCAGGGTTCATTTGTATGACATGTTCTTTGGGGTTTGGCCTTACCAAAGCAAAAAAGAGGTACAAGAAATGTGGAAGTATGTCTGCCTGTTGAACACCCAGACACACAGCCACGTGAGCATAAGACGCTCGCTCGTTTTGTATTACTGCTCTCCACGCGACAGACTTGAGTTCTTGAATTTCCTCTGGGGTAAAAAAGGATTTGAAACCATAAAGTGTTTTGAAGAAATTAAATCTACAAAAACATACTTTCTTTTTTCTTTTCCTTTTTTTCCCCTCCACAGACAATGTCTTTCTCTGTTCAATTCCTAACGCAAACTACAATAAATGGTGATACGCAGTCGGAAGGAATCTTCTTTGAGTCTCTTCTTTTTGTGGAAAGAAAAGGGGGGAGATGCTCAAGAGCCAAATGAGAGCGCCTGTGGTAAATTAGTTTTTCTGGCAGCAATTAGAAGCTTCTATATTTTTTTATTGTGAAAATACCGTATAGAGGGGTTATAATTACATGGGCAAGATAATGAGTACATTTCTTATCAAGCATTGTTGCCTCCTCCTTTGTCGTCCCCCCCCCCCCCCGCCCCCGCCCGGGCACCCCGCAGAAGCTTCTGTTTTTAAAATGAAACTTTGCCATCTGCATCAGCCTTGCTGCTGTATTTGGTTCTAGTTTTACCTCTGAGAGGCTGAGCTCTTACGCTGGTGTTCTGTTCTCACCTCAAAGATCTTTTCCCTGGCCTTCCAGGCCCTTACTCAGGCCCTACTCACTCATTAGCATTTAAACTTCCTTATTTATCTATTTAGCTGTTCTGGAGATCAAATCCAGGACTGTGCACATACTAGGTCATCACTCTTCCACTGAGTTCCATCCCTTGGCCTACAGAACCATTTCCCTATACACCTGAAGTAGTGACTGTGCTAGCAATAGGGAAACTTAGCACTTCCAAGGCAAAGGCCTTTGTATTTATTTCCAGTTGGTTGTGTGTGTGTGTGTGTGTGTGTGTTTTCTGTTTTAGTACTAGGGCTTAGCTCAGAGCCACACATGCTCACTTAGCTTCTTTACACTCAAGGCTAGAACTCTTACCTCTTGAGCCATACCTCCACTTCAAGTTTTTTGCTGGTTAATTTGAAATAATGAGTCTCTCAAGTTTACCTGACTGGGCTAGCTTTGAACCTCAATCCTCATATCTCAGGCTCCTGAGTAGCTAGGATTACAAGTGTGATCCATTGCACCTAGCTTCTATTTTGATTTAAATAAATCAGGCTTTAGGATGCAGAGAGGTTATTGCTCAATGTCCTGGTTATTTAAGGAACATTATCCAGGCTCCAGAACTCAGCCTGTATTGTCTACTTCTTTTGAGCACATTTGGACTTGTTTTCCCCTGCCTTCCCACAAAATACAAGTTATTCATTGTAGCATATTTTCCATTATATAAATTATATATATGTATACATATATAGATGAAAATTACCTATAATCCCACTATACAGATGACTATTTACTTTTTTTGGTCTTCTTTGCACTTGCTAGACAAGCACTTTGCCACTGAGCTACATCCCAGTCCAATCTTACTCTTTACTAGCTTACTTATGTGCATTTCTCAAATTACATTTACTAACTCATCTGATCCTGTTTATTGGGCTCACAATGTCTATTGCTATCTCTTCTCCACCCAGATTACAAACTCTTACAGCATACATTTTGTTGTGTTATTTAAATCATCCCTCTCTACAAGTATACTTTCTGCTTTGTACTTCCACACTCACTTCATGGATATTGGAAATTCTGAGGTTCCAAGGACCCCCTGAGGGGGAGCAGGGTGCAGTCCATCTCCTGCCCAGAACTCTAGGGCAAAGATGTTTGGGATTTCTATTTTGAGAGTCTCGGGATGATTGTTCCACAGAAAGATGTTTGACTTCATTCTGCTGTTATAGATATTAAATGCAAACTATTTTGAAAATAGGGCTGGACTAAAGGGAAAAATGGTCAAAGAGGCTTTAGCACCTGAGAATCTGATCAGTAGAAGAAAAGGTCCTTAGAAGATGAGTAAGATAACTTTTTGCTCATTTTAGGACTCATTGTTGTGTGGGGTGTAGGAAGGATTTGGTAGACTACCTTTTCAAACCAGCCCAGGGTATTAATCACTTTTTGTAACCTTTGGATTTGGTGCATAAAATAGTGAATTGGACCACATATTTATTGGAGTACTAACTGGGCACCATCTGACCAAGTAAAAGTTTTAGTGGTTTGGTTTGTTTTAGTTTTTTTGACAGTAGCAGGATTTGAACTTGGGCCCTTATACTTAATGGGCAAGCTCTCTCTACCTCAAAATCTACGCCCCACCCCCGTTTCAGTTATTTTTTACAGAGTCTTGCATTTTTGCCCAGGCCATCCTCAGACCACTATCTGCCTACAAACAATTGCATAGCTAAGATTATTGATAGATGCCACTATGCATATCCTATTGGTTAAGATGGGAATCTTCCTCCCACCCTTCCCTCCCTCCCCCCCCCCCCCCCCAGTCATGCATGGGGCCTGAACTCTGGGCCTGGGCACTGTCCCTCAGCTCTCCAGCTCAAGGCTAGTGCTCTACCACTTGAGCCACAGCACCACTTCCGGCTTTTTTCTTTTTGCTTATGTGGTGCTGGGGAATCAAACTCAGGGCCTCAGGCATGCAAGGCAAGCGCTCTACCACTGAGCCACCTTCCCAGCCCCCCTGAGCTGGTTTTTGCTCAAGGCTAGCACTCAACCACTTTGAGCACAGCTCCACTTCTGGTTTCTGGTGATTAATATGAGAAAAGTCTCATGGACTTTCCTGCCCAGGCTGGCTTTGAACTGTGATCCTCAGATCCCAGCCAGAAGTTGGGGCTTTGTGGTAGAATACTTGCCAACATGCATGATGCCCTGGATTCCATTTCTTAGTACCACATAAACAAAAAAAGCTGGAAGTGGCACTGTGGCTCAAGTGGTAGAGTCTCACAGACTTCTGTGTGATCTGGCCTCAAATGGTACCCTCCAAATCTCAGCCTCCCACAAAGCTAGGAATGACAGATGCATGCTTTCATGCTGAACTATGAATTGAAAAGGGGTTTGTCAAACTTTTCTGCCTAGTATGGCCTACCTTTCAACCCACAGTCCTCATATTATCTTAGCTTCCTAAGTAGCTAGGATTACAATCATGAGCCACTGGCAGCCAGCTCATTTCTTAATTTTGAACCACCTTCTAGCTCTCCTCACATTTTTTTCCACAGGTAATGAGAAGTAATCTAGTAGTATGTTATAGTTTAAATTTTAAGTGTTCTCCAAAGATGCATGAAAGAAAGACTCACTTCCCTGGGTGATGCCAGTGAGAGATGGTGTGGATCCTTTAGGAGGTGGAGCCTAGCGGGAGGTTTTCAGGTTATTGGGGGTGTGTCTCAAAGGGGAGTGTGAGATGAAGTTTGCTCCATAAGGTGAGTAAGCAGTTTTACTCCTCCATGCACTCTTTTTTTTTTTTTTTTTTTTTTTTAATTTTTTTTATTGTAAAGCTACTATACAGAGGGTTACAGTTACATGAGTGAGGTTATGAGTACACTTCCTCTTGAACATTGTTACCCCCTCCATTGTTTTCCCCCTACCATCCCCTCCCTCCCTCCCTTCCCCGAGGTTCTTTTTTTTTTTTTTTTTGATTGTGATTAAATGATTACATAATTTCAAAGTCACAAGTTCATTCTAACTTCCCTGGAGCAAATTGTCTACCACAGTCTATAATATATAACAGTGTTCACATGTTATATACCATATTTGTGATCAGCAGCATGAGGATATTTAGTAGTGGTTCAACCAGATGAGCGGGAGTTCTTTGTTTCTTAAGTCCTGTTAGTTTTGTCGTATCACCTAACCTTTTGGATTTAGCATCCACTTATGAGGGAGACCATGTACCGTTTGTCTCTTCGTTCTTGGCTTACCTCGCTCAACATGATTCCTTCTAGCTCCATCCATTTCCCTGCAAATGCCATTATTTTGTCATTTCTAATGGCTGCATAATATTCCATTGTGTATAGATACCACAATTTTTGGATCCATTCATCTGTGGTGGGGCACCTAGGTTGTTTCCATATCCTAGCTATTGCGAACAGTGCTGCAATAAACATGGAGGTGCACGTGTCCTTGTATATTGGTTCCTGTTGTTCAGGGTAGATCTCCATGCACTCTTACCATGATGTGTCACCTTGACAGGCCCAAACCAACACCATCAACCAACCATGGACTAGAACTTAAGACTGTAAACAGCCAGGGATGGGTGGTTCATGCCTGTAATCCTAGCTACTCAGGAGGATGAGATCTGAGGATCACAGTTTAAAACCAGCTTGGGCAAGAAAGTCCATCAGACTCTTACCTCTAATTATCTACTCAAAAACCAGAAGTGGCACTGTGGCTCAAGTGTTAGAGCTCTAGCCTTGAGCACAAAGAGACACAGAGACAGCACCCAGGCCCTTGAGTACAAGCCCCACAACCAACCAACCAACAAAAATACTGTAAACAGCATCACTCTTCTTTGTAAGTTGATTATTACAAGTGGTGGCAGAAAGCTAATACATAATGTGTTCATTATTCTGCTTTGAAATTTCCTTACCTAATCTGGCACGATGGCTTACATCTGACATCCCAGATATGTGTGTGTATGCCTGTGTGTGTAGACAGACAGACAGACAGATAGATAAGCAGTTGGGAGAATCATGGTTCAAGGCTAGCCTCAGTAAAAGGTTAGAGAGACACCCTCTATCTTAATCAATAATCCCGGTGTGATGGCTCACATCTTTGGTACCAGCCAGGCAAAAAAAGATTTCAGTCTCAAGCTGGCTCAGGAGAAAAAAAACAAGACCTTGTCTGAAAATAAATCCAGGCACCTGAGGATCATATGTATAATCCTAGCTACTCAGGAGGCTGAGATCTGGAGGATCACAGTTTGAAGTTAACCCAGGCAGAAAGGTTCACTAGATTCCCATCTCAAACAAGAAAGCACCAGCCAAGCAAGCATGAGGTCCTGAGTTCAAGCCGTGTTGACAAAAATCTCCATCACTAGAATACAAAGGTCTCCAGCTTCTCATAACATTGACTTTTGGCTGCACTCTCTGTTTCCTCCTATGAGCTCCTATCTGTCGCTGGTCACCCAGTCCCAAAGCCAATGCCACATGTATTCTGCTTTGTTGCAATGCCACCCATATCTAAAGACCTAAATCCTGCTGTGAAAGAGCACACACAGGGCTGGGAAGGTGGCTCAGTGGTAGAGCGCTTGCCTTGCATGCATGAGGCCCTGGGTTCGATTCCTCAGCACCACATAAGCAGAAAATGCCGGAAGTGGCGCTGTGGCTCA